GCAATAACTTAAGACTGTATGTCCCATTAAGTTGGTGGAGATACAAAAAGAAAACGGTTGATGCATTGCAGTATAGTTAAAACATCGCGTTTTTGAAATGTTAAAATTGCTTTCACCCCATTTACTACACTTTTTATGACAGTTGTGCCATGTCCAAAGTTATGAATTACATAAAAATCTGGTCTCCTACCATTGCATGGAAAAACCCTCCAATTTATTGTAACGCGCAGAAAACTTCCACTGTTTGTTAAACGAACGCAATCTTTTGAATTCTGGATTACTTGAATGCTTGAGATATCAAATATTACCTGCTAAGTATCCTTTGTAAAGTCAGAACTAAGGTTCTATTTTTTTCCATGAATAAGACAAGGAAACATATATCATGTTTCTACTTGCAGGTCATTATTGTTTTATGTCTGCGTATGCGCTTTATGGCGTTCGTTCATCCACCTTTCAATGGTTATTCCAGAAACAAACGAATCAAAGAGAACAAAAGAGATGTTAAGAAGCTTTCGACATTGTCTGACTTATTAAAGGGTCTTCTTCGTATACTGACATCTCTCTATTCTTTTGGCTTAAATAATAATTTATGACCATAAAGAACTGTCGAAAGGATTGTGATTGTGATTGGATATGCTTCAGGCTCTTCATGCTGCTTTATTAGTCAATAATGCGCTTCTTCTATTTTAGGAATGATGTTTTATTTTCCAACATTCATGGCTATTACAACCTTGGCGTTCTGGAGATTCGCAGTAATAAAAGCTGTGTGTTTAAATTCAGTATTGCAAAAACAATTCATTCCGTGCATTTCCGTTTCAGTTGTTTTGAAAGTTCCACGCAACAGATAGCCTTCCGGTGGCCACTAATGCTTGTGCTTGTCTTTGCTTTAAAGTTAAAACATGCATTACCGTTATCTCAGAAGATTTCTTTTTCAGATTTGAAAAAAAAAAAAAAAAAAAATACTTTTCATCACTAGTTTACCAGAGGACTAGTAGAACTAGGTGTTGTTAACGTGATTTCTTTTTCATATCACTCTACACTGTGATGAGATCAATGTTGTTGTATTAAAGCGACATCAAGGTAAAAGTTTTTTTCACTGATTTATTTTCATCACCTTATAGTGTATCAACTTATGAACAATAACAGTTGTTTTCGATATGATATACAAGAATGAGGTAAATAATTATACGAAGGACATCCTTATCTAACGATCAACAATCTGTATATGTAATTTTTGCGTCGTATGTTATAACACATACACATAAAACACTGTCGCCTGTAAAAAAAATGGCAGCCCGCATAAATTGGTTGGTGAAAATAATGCCACTTATTTCGTAATTCTGAATTAACTTAGAGCTATCAAATAACATTTGCCAAGCTCATAACAAATTCTGGTGCTGAAAAGCGAATTGACTGAGTCTCACTACTGTCGCTGTCATTTCTATCCGCCATCTCGTGTTCGTGTTTACAAAAATGACCTGTCTCGTATTCAAAACTATAGCGTGACGTTATCAGCGAGAGGGACTTCTCGAACCAAGGAAGTGGTCAAACTGGACATTGGAAATCGACTGTATATATTGTGATCGCATAGAAACGTAATTGGAAGTATATAAAACACGCACGATCAATAAGAAAATTAATGTTTTCACCATAATGTCTCATCAACGTTTTTATTGATTATTATTCGTATTCTTCAAACCAAAAATCGATATTTGATGTCGAAGTGATATTGAATAATATCGGAAACAAGCAAAAAAACAAAAAAACAAAAAAACAAAAAACAAAAAACCAAACAAACAAACGAACTCCATGGTCAAAATTAAAAACATTTTTCTCTCAGTTGTTTGTGTATTATATAACGTAATAACACAATATGTTTTATATAATACTCACAACGGAAACTAGGGGGAAGTAAGGATAAAATGGAAGATTTACATGTAGACGTCTGAGAAATATACACGATGATTCAGAAGGGATAGCGTTTTCTGCGTAATCAACGACACTCACCGTGTAAATATTGATAATTCCAAGTAATTAGTGTCACGTTACTAAACGATAACAAAGGTAAATAACAACGGAGCATCAAACATGTCCAACTTCATATCGCACAATATTTCCATAATCTTCATCAACAATTTTAGAAAAAGATACAAATGACCTAAAAAGGAATTAATCTACATCACACACCTGTTTCATCTAAGACTCGTAAGTGATCCATGGGCCTAAAGTGTTGAAACCCAGGAGTTAGTACCGTTATGACTTCAATTATCAACGGGTTGTCAAACTTCAAATTAACAGCCTCCCATTTTCGTGTGTATTTCCTCCCTGTAATAAACCATCCAATACCAGCCTAATTAATTACTACTGTTCGTAGATGATGAGGTGACGATGTGGTGAATATGCGTTAATTTCCTCTTGTATCATCGGTTCAAAGAGATTTTATTACATAGATTCCATGTCGTAACTTCTGGCCTAGTCTTTATTGGATATTTCTATTCGATACTGCACTGTCGTACATCCGAGTATCATTCCTTCGAGTCTCTTCTAAGCTGCTTACATATCACTTATAGAAAGACGTTTCGAAAAAGACGTTATATGTTTTTCATGAGAAAATTTATACCTAAACAGACATATCTTTCTCTTCTTTTTTTTTTAGATTTTAATCTCCGGCGAGAAAGGATTCAAAGTCTCCATCTTTCAGCAAAAACCTGACTGATTTGACACTGTACAAGAAATAATCTTAGCTTAATGTTCGTGTTATTACGAAAATAGTGAAGTTAAGTTTATTAACCGATACAGGATCTGATATGATCCTCTTCATCGGACGCAAAAACATGACACGCGACATCACTAATACCTTATTTTCCTTAAGACTGTTCCCAAATTTTGCAATGCGTAAGTAAAAAATGTTCCTGCGAATGATATGGTAATTTGAGTTTCCTCAGTCGATCAGGGTATGATAAGTTCCGAAAAGCAGGTATCTGTTTCGTAGCTCTCCTTTGTTCTGCTTCAATCATATCGGTATGCTTCAATTTTAAGGGAGGCCACACAGTATTAGCATATTCAAGGTGAAGTCTTACTAATGTTTGGTATAGAAGTGAAAAGTATGTTCGCTTAGAAAATGAAAAGAGCTCCTTGTGACTGCAAACATTGAGTTAGCTTTCTTTACTTGGGTGCTTATGTGATCTTCGAATGTGAGAGATCTGTCGATAACCACGCCTATGTCTTTCTCCTTTCCACTTCTTGTAAGGGTACATTTTCTATATCATATGTTCTATCTTCACAGGCATGCATGTATTTGCACTTTAATGGGTGAACTTTCAACAACCCTTTATTGCTCCAGTTTGAAAGTTTGTTCATATCCTCCTGTAAGATATCGACATCAGCGGTTCCGCGTATACTTTTGAAAACTTTAGTATCATTCGCATAAAGTATGCATCCGACTGTAGTGAATCAGGAAAATTGTTATAATAGATGACAAACAATACTGGTCCTAATGCTGAACCTTGGAGTACGCCAGAAGTTACTTCTGTCCATTCTGAGTTTGCTCCGTGCAATGAAACTCGTTGCTGCCTGTTAGAAATAAATCTTGACGTCCAATTTACGACTTCATCACTTATCCCATAAGATGACATTTTGCTGATGAGCCTTTTATGTGGAACAGCATCGAATGCTTTTTGGAAGTCCGTGTCTATACAGTCAATGGCCCCTCCCTTATCTAACAGTTCTGTCCATTCATCTAATAATTTGAGAGACAAACCCATATTGTTTTTTAGATAGTAAAGAATTGACTGAAATATATTTAATAATATGACTTCTTTAAATTGTTTCCAATACTTTACATACGATGGACGTTAGACTGACAGGTCTACAATTTCCTGGCTTACACTTGTCACCTTTTGTGTTGTGCCCTTTTTCAGTCATCGGGTACAGAACCTTCAGTAAAGCTAAAGGTCTGATATTGATTCTGCTGTTTCCTTTAGAAAACGTAGTTGCAGTCCATCTATCCCAATGTATTTGTTGACTTTCAGCTTCAGTAGTTCTTTTAGCACAGTTTCACGGTTAATATATAAATATAGGTTGTATTTGGAGATTAACTTCCTTATTTAGATTTTTGTTATTTCTGTTTCATCACTTGGTTCGGTTACAAATAGCTTTTGAAGCAAGATACTAAAATGTTAGCCTTTTCTCGGTCGTTTTGTTCTTTACGCGAATGTTTAGTTCCTGGTTCTGAGTAGAGATCTCCTACTTCGGTTTTCGTCTTTTATTTCGAGCGAATGTACTTCCATATTGCCTTAGAGTTACTTTAAGCCTCTGATGAAAACTTATATTCAAATTGTTTTCTTATTCTTCTTGTTAATTTTCTGGCTTTATTTCTAGTACTCCTTTCTGTTTTTATCATCACCGGTAATGGTATTCTTTCCTAGAGAGCGCTTCAATTAGATAACATCTCGGATTCCTTTATCAATAGGATATCCGTATATGTTTTTTATCCTATACGTTTGGTGTTATTACTGGTACATATTTGCTCTCTACTTCCAATATCTTCCGGTATAATACATTCCAACAGTAGTTTACATCATTACACCGTAAGTTTTCTTCCCAATCATCCTGTTCAAGTTCTTAATTAATTAATTGCAATGAAATCCGCTTTATCGTACAATTTAGTTGGTCGCGAAATATGTGGTGTTGTTGCAAAGCATTTGAGAGCAAACATCAGGAAACAATGGTCACTCTTTCCTTGCATTATTTTTCAAGAAGACCTTTTTTATTAAATCATCATTTTTCATTTACAACAGGCAAAAATTGTACCTCTACATGTTTTCAAATTGTTGATGTTGACGGCCGAAATTCTGAACAGAAATGGCTAGATCGAGAAATCTGAACTAAGATTTTTAGTAATATAAATTTTGATTATCAAGTCGTCCTTGTCCCATTAGATATGACGACCAAAGCACACTTCATGATCTTCACCCAAATTAAAATGAGAAGAAAGTATAAATGTTACGAGATTATTTATTTCAATACATTTTATGTAATATATCAAAGCATGCCAGTAATGTTATATTACAAAAACATAAAGCACAGTACTATAGCGACATGTCTAAATCTTTCACACACACATAGTCTTTGTAAACTATTACCTTTATTACAGACATATCAAGTTTACCATTTTCCCATACCATTACAAACACACAGTCAAACCACACTCGCTAAAATCCAACCTAAAATCGTACACATTCACAATACATAACTAGGTATTCTGTTAACCAGTAATTGTTCCGGACATTTATACATGTACAATTATCACAGGTTTATTCAAATCTTTCAAGGAACATTGTTGAACTTGATATAATCATTTACAACCATTGTAATTAACCAATGATTCTCGACATTGACATTAATCCAGAGAATTATGACTATCAATGCTTAGGTTCCTGGCAGCGTCCATTCTATAGCCAGAGCGTGATGTAAAACATGAGATGCCTGGGAGAGTCGATGAACTATTTACCTCCCTTGTTTGAGATTTGTGATGAAGATGCGGTAACACGGGTCCCTGGTACTGACTGAGTTCTGTAAACAAAACATGACTACAATTTTATAACCTGTACTTGAATGGTGTTCATAATAAGATTCCTTCTGTTGCTGCAAAGACCTTCTTCATTTCTCTACCAGAATACCAAGTACTCTCCCAACAAAATAAGAAAAGCGGATGAAAAATATTTCTATCAGTAAACAACAATATTAGAAAGTTCTGAAATTCATTTTGGCTGTTTTAATAACGAAGATAAAGGTGACGAATGAAAATGAATAAATTGGCAATATATAACCAACTTATATTTCACGCATATTGGTTCATTTTTCTAAATTATTTCCTACATTTTATATCAGTATTTTTCAAATTTTATTTGACTTTGAAATATGATTTTTTTTTAAAAATTCGAAACAACGGCAAAATCCAAGATGATCGCCTTATAGTGATGTTTGTTTTTCTGATCAGTGCCAAAATGAAACGGGCACAACGAGGTACCAAGTGGAACCCTCTTACGCAATTCAAGAAAAATTCATCCCGTTCTTTTAAAGAAATTCCGATAACAAACTTTCATATTCAAAATCAAATACAACTAAGTGACAGCCATTTTGTTTTATTTGTAGCATAACGAAACCGGCACAACGACGTGACATACTTAGCTGATGGTACAAGAGGCTTCTTTTTCATATTTCCAGCATTCTGCTGTTGTGCTTGCGATGTCAATGTTTTCCTGCAAAAGGAAATAATACCGGTTTCGTTTGAACAATACGTCTCAGTTGTACGCTCGTCATAACTAAAATTTGTCCAGCTGAGTATGATACTGTTTTAAAATGGAAATTGGGTGAAATTCATATTTAAATATTTTAATCTTTAAAAGGAAATCAAAGTATTATCCGAAAATGTCTGAGATATTAAGAAATTCATTGCACAAAAAATAAATAAAAACTACTTAAATTCAATCTTGACTTTGATCAATGACATAGTGAAATAGAATATTGTTAAGGAAATGTTAAAAGCTAAAATAATCCACAGGTTTTCTTATTAATACTCATGCAGATCAAACCGTAATGAAATAATAGGAATTTGGTTTCAGCAAGAAAAGTGGCCATAAAGAGATACCCAGAGAAGATCTTTAACAACAGTTCCGATATTTACTCCTTTTTCAAATAATCAACTAAATCTAACAAGCTCGTTTTAATATCCGATGTGACAACTTCATCTGATCGTTACGATAATGAGAATCATTATCATTTGTACTTTATTATACACAATTCTTAAAATATCGTGTTTCTATGGTTACCGTTAAAGAAGTATCAAAACAATAATGCCTATATAAAGAGCGTCCATAACAAGCATGCTTAATCACTCTGACAATGCCTTCCGAACGCACGGTGTCAATAACCTAATCTTTTGAAAAACATTGAAGTACATATCGTTGTCAACAAGATCAATAGCTGGTCATTAGGGCATATAAAATAATCACGTTCGTCATTAGCAATGATTAAATATATGGAACTCCTACACAGTCTTGATGTCATTGCAAAAGATCGTGATGTATATCGTTTTCAGCTATATGATTAGCTATATATAGTCTAACAAATGGTGACGAACTCTTTAGTAGACACAAGTTTTGTTTTTCAAGTAAGCATTACCCAAAAGCAAAAATGTTGATTGTGCGAAAATCAACGTCAATAAAAGAAACAGTAATAATTATGTTACTGATAAATATATAAGATTAAACAAGATAACGATGTCCATGTAGGTGTAGTTTACCTTTTATCTGTCTTGCCTTTGAACACTTTGTTAACGTCTAGTTGACTTGACTGTGGACGACTTTTAGTCAGCTCTGAGGCCTCACATAAAGTCTCTCTGTCCAGTTCCAGACGTACTTGGGCGAAAACATTAAACCATTGCTAAAATAGACAAAAAAGATATACCTTTTTAGAACAGGTCAGCTTGTCATGAATTTAACATATCATATCAAAAATAGAAAATGAGACTTGATGCCTATCGGACAGTGACATCGTTCCAATACCAATAGCCGTATTTAGAGACAATAAATTCGATAGATATTAAAAAAATATTGTTCATGTAAAGAAATGTGACTACTTTGTCGTTTCATCAATGTGGAAGTAAAATCCAATTAATAGTTATGGTATAGTCTACCTGTGTCTGTTGGCTCAGGCCGATATCTGTGAGGGCGTACTGCCACTGGGGTAGTCCTAAATGCATCAACATCAACCGGTAATAGGCGATAAAGGAGTCTGTAAGATAATGCCACCTCAGAGCTCTATCCAGGAACCAAATCTCTATCTTTGGTTCATTACCGCCTACAGTGAACATGTCATATAATTAGTACAGTCATGTAATTACGTATTTAGTAGTTAAACATTAAAAATTTTATAACGTCAATTGATAAACTGAAAAAATACTAAGAAATAAAAATAGAATATTTATGTTCTATGCAAAACAAAATATATACAGTGTTATATATTTCATGACAAAAGCGAAAAATTAACTCTAAAATGATTGTATCAATTAATAAAAAATCATTAAGAAGTGAGGACATTATATTTGGTGAAACAAAAACATCACTATCTAGCGTCGTCAAAACCATCCTAGCTTTGTGCTCACAGTGCAACACAGATAATTAGTATTCTCTATAAAACACACAGTGCAGTAAATAAGAACACACTTGTTTTTATTCTAACACTTGCTAGATAGTGCTGAGACTTGTGTATATAAAACAATTTCTTTTTAAATTAGTTATCTCTGTAAATTATTTGATAGGCAAACACACAATTAGCAGAAATGAATGAGATTTTATCTCGTAAGATGATCCAAACGTCAGCAATCGTTACAGTACCCAGAGATATACATGCAAAGGTGTTCTGATGACTAGTTGTCCATCAGATGATTGTCGTACGTGTTTAAATATTGATTTCATCACCAATATAAGTCCAAAATGATTGAATATTTGGTCAGTGGTTATGATAAGTTACCATGCCTTGAAAGTACATACACATACAACACCACTCACATGCGGAAATTGCTGACGTAAACGCTGAATGTTCTACGAGGAATGCTCTACACACGATAATTTTATCAGGGAAATGTACAATCAGAGAATTGTAGCATCGTATACAATAGATATACATGTGTTACTGCCCTGTTACATATCCTTGTAACATCTATTTCATAAAATGCGGTATAACAACATGTATGACAACACGTGTCAGAACATCTAGCGAATCTGTGATTGGTTAAATGTTCCATTTGATTCAGTTGTGCGTCATAATTTCATTGTGTCTGAAGAAACCACCAAAGAAATATATATACAGTGAGAATTTCGCCAATTTAGATCTAATATTTAATTTTTTTTTTTTTTTTTTTCTGATATTTTTCTATGTAAATCAGTTACACTATGAATAGAATCTTTCATTCGTTTCCATCTCCTGACAGTAGTGAACCGAGTATTTTAGAATTAACCTTTCAAGCCTTTGGGTAGCTCAGTAAATTCTCGTATGAAAAGGAAACTCGTGTAACTCTCTTATCTATGCCTTTCCTTTATAATGTGGCGGGGTCGGAGTTGGGGGTTGGGGTTCTCTAACCATGCTGTTGTGATTTTGTGCTCTCTAAATCACGAACTTCCGGTGGTAATACTAATACGGGGAACACAGCATTGCATTGTGATCCATTGACCATAACTGTAAACTAACGCCGATGCCTTGCATAAGAAAATCGTGGAACTCTTCTGGTATGTCTTGATAGGTCTGAAAAGTGTATCATTACATTAAGTTTTACAATATTTTTTATTTCCGAATGTACATAATTACTACAGTGTACAAGTAACACTAGTCGTACAGGAAAACCCTAAATACCCGTGTCAATGTCTTGGACGTTACAAAAGATTGTACAAAAATGACAAGCTCCTTTCCATAACAGTAACAGATGCAGTATTTATAGAACTGGAGTACACTGCTATTTAGTCTTTGTGGGATCCATCAGTGATCTCCGGGGCCTAATGTGTGAACCTCCAGAAGGCAACGTATCAAAAGCAATGGCGGGAAATGTTAAACCATTGGTTGACACGTGCGCTTCATTGATAATAACGTTAAATCAAAACGCCAAATAACGCCAAGAACAGATACAATGTAGGTGTGCATATTTCTTGTATTTCGAATCGAGCTACTTTTAATACAGGTCTCGTTAGTTTTGACAATTTGGACTTTTCAGAACCACACTATTAAAACCTCAGTTGGAACCAACATCTCGGTATACGTTAGGTGAAATCACCAAATTCATTATCTCAAGTAACTTTCAAACTGTGGTCCAAGTCTTTTTAATGTAAAGCAGTTTATAAAAAAAAAAACCAATTATTCGATCACACGGTAAGACTGAAACAATATACGTGACATGGAGTATAAAGACACACATGTCTGTCACTTTCACCAATGTCATCTTAATGTTGTGTTATCATTCTCACGGGACTAGTACCGTCTCGTAACAGTGTGTATATAGTATAAAATTGTAATTGGTTTATTAACTCACACTAACCATTTGCTTTACATATTTTATATACACACACTAAAACTGAAGATTTAAAATGTCAATATATATCAAGGTAGTACAATGGTCATATGTTACATTGTATGTCCCTGTATTGAATTTCAGATAAGAATTACACAAGAAGACGATTGATTCGAAGAAAAGAAAACAACACTAACAGACATCAACACAACAGTAAAGAAATCATGTTCCCTAACAGCCAATCGCCATTTGTTTGAGTGGAAACCATCCCAAGTGAAATTTCGGTCACCAGGGATTAAAGCTGTCATAGTGATTACCGCGAAATACATTCATTATAAATTATAATGAAAATTCTCTAGTAGAAATATTACAAGGATTTTTTTTCTCGTCCCCCCCCCCTTCTGGTATTCAGGTAGGTGATACCCATGGTCTACCGACACTCAAAACTTTCCCATTTATACAAGAAACGTTAAACCCGATTAGTATAACAGAGTGTACATATATTTATATTGTTGCTAGGGAAAACGTGAACAAAAAAAAACTTCACTGGAACAGATGTATACATTGAAGCTGTCAATTGTAACATATCTATATATATACACAATGTGGTACAGATTATCAAAATCATGTAATACACTTAAGCGTCATATATTGGTAGCCATATATAGCGAAAGCATATTCATTACACAGTAAGGTCACGTGAACAAACGACCATGCAAGGATACAACTATATTTGGATAATGTGTACAAATAACCAAAAGAATGAAAAGTATCTAGAAATGAAATTGTATCATAAATCATTAATAAGCATATTTTTGGATTAAATATCTCATACTTTTGTTTTTTAATGTTATGTGTTTTTTTTGTTTATTTATATCGCGTATTTCTTTTTCTATAATATTGCATATTTTTGCTTTTTGATATCATGTATATTTGTTTATCAATATTCCGTAGTTAAGTTTTTTTTAATATCACATAGTTTTGTTTTTTAATATCACATTGTTTTGGTTTTTTCACATCATATATTTTTGTTTTTATTTAAATCCTGTTTGATAATGGCATTGTCTCCTTTATAATTTTCCTCTGATATAACTGAAACATTACATTACCATTTCCGTCTGCAGTTGTACATGCACTTCAACATTCAGCTATTTTGTGCTTAGCTAATTCAAACTATCTAATCTTTGTTGACAACATCATGTGATGCTATTTAGTATGGCATGTGTGTGGGAGTCACTTGAAAAACTGGTTAAAGTGACCACTAGGAGGCGTTTGGGTGTAGTTGCAAGAAAAAAAATGGACATGCATTCGAAAACATCTCCCAATTCAAGAACCTTCATCCATGCATGAATCTATCTCTACATAACTCATTCACCTAAAAAGAACACCAAAAATCACAGAAAGTGTAAATAAACTTAGACCATAAGAGAATATTGAAGAGAGATCAACCTGAGAAACCAGCACACAGTGATATTAAGACCAGTATTCAGAATTATATAAGAACAGTACTACCATTCTTCTAAATCCGTTTTCATTCTGCTAGGGTGTTATGTTATTGATAACTGTATTTTCTTGCAATGAGAATCTATTAAAAAATAGATTTCCACTATGAATATTATTGAAATTGGAGATTGAAATTGTAATTGAATTGCTAGCATTCAAATTATTTGTTAGGGGAGGTTGTCCATCAGTTGAAATCTACATATACTTTGAAATTTACACACTAGTATAAACTGTTAATTGCTTGCAGGACATTGTGTGTGTGTGTGTGTGTGTGTGTGTGTGTGTGTGTGTGTGTGTGTGTGTGTGTGTGTGTGTGTGTGTGTGTGTGTGTGTGTGTGTGTGTGTGTGTGTGTGTGTGTGTGTGTGTGTGTGTGTGTGTGTGTGTGTGTGTGTGTGTGTGTGTGTGTGTGTGTGTGTGTGTGTGTGTGTGTGTGTGTGTGTGTGTGTCAACAAGAAAGATGAGCATGGTTCGAGTACCTAACCAGTAGTTAAATTCCTTATTGAAACACAGATGAGGGCAATAACTATTTTTATCAGTTTTCTTTCAATCCATGCCAAGTGCCCCAATAGATTAGTTTTGATGCTTCACAGTTAGAAATTTAAAACTTTATTGTTTTCTGGAAAATTAATGAGTTATATACTCTTTTAATACATATGTCTATATAATTCTGAAAATTGAAAGTAACCCATTAAAGTCACCCAATAAAGTCATCCATTAACAGCCAACTAAACATTTTGGTAAATCTGTGGTAATTTTTTGTCAGGAATACTGATATATAATAATCACGACATTCTTCATTCTACATATAATCATCTAAGATTTTTATTAACTGATACATAGAAAAAGACTTCACAAATAGAATCAATTAGTTTTTCCTTTTTATTTTGCACATATTTGGATTTATTAATGAACAAGAATTCTGTAGAAATAATATTTTACAAAATATATATGAGGTGTAAGTAATAAAAAAGAGAGTCCCTGAATAACAACCAGCAAGGTATGATAGGTGGGATACAAATGGTTGGTAGGGAGATATATATCTACATGTTAGTAGCTTGCCCAATACTACAGGTGTCTTACAGGTTAAAACGTTAGCATCATACCAAATCTGAGCAAATCAGATGTGTGCTTTCCATCAAATATATCCACAGGGTCAAAATAAGTCAAACCTGGTAATAAGATATCAACATTAGTATGACATTAGGGGGACGTGCTTACTCAGACTGCATGCAGTTAATAGAAAATAACATGATGTGGAGGGGTGGGAACATGAATATAGTTAAAGAGGGAGACAACTCTTTTTACATTCTACAATATACCTATTTGTATTCCAATTAACTATTTATCTAGAACACATTGATAGTAAGACTTTAAGAAGATGTTAGGCAAAATAACCATTTGAGAATTTAACATAAATTCTTATTCGTAATGTGTGTATATTTTTAGTCTAATTCTGGAAACAAATTATACTTATCATGTGATGGAAATTGCCTATTTGCCATATTTCCAGAAAGAGGATGAACAAGGTGGGATATTGCCACACATAGCTATCACATCTTCATCTCAAATCTCATTACTGATTTACTTACAATTTATGGAAACCTACATGTATTTAATATGTTTATTTACTCCAGTGAAGTCTCTAAACGATCTGATAATTTTTTCTCAAACACTTTGTTGCATGTTGTATCTATATTCAGCTGTAATTGTCAAGCCCTTACATTAATATGGAGATTTATTTCAAATTTTCCCACAAACACTAGTCTAATGATCTATAAAGTAACATATGAACAATATCCTTCTTGTATCTATGTAAATAGATATTGAAAATATACATGGTTAGACAATACATATAAATGTTGATATTTTTTTGTCAGTAATTACTTTTTAAATCTTACATTTATCCATTTGAACACCATTGGTTTAATTATCCATTTGAACACCATCAGTTTAAATGTCCATTTAAACACCATCGGTTTAATATTTTCTACAATAAATTGAATGCGAAATATATGTACATTTGGTCTTAAAAGCCTTGAATGAATTAGACTAGAATGGGTGAAACAGAGAAAACCAATGAAATAAAATTAAGTAAATTGTCACAAGAAGAAGAAAAGAATTCAGTAAAAAAAAGTTAAACTGTTTTAGATATTTCATCTAAAAAAACTAAAACTGAACAACAAAATGGCTGTAGTTACCAAAATAAGTTTCTACATCTCCTTCTTCTGAAATCAAAAAGTCAGGTCACACGATATAAAAAAATTTAAGCAGATGTTTTAAAGCTGACTGCACAAGACTAAAGTTTTTCTTTCGGCATTATACTCTCAAAACCTTTAGAGTATTATAAAACTTTTTTCCAACCTCCATGTATAGAAGATAAATGAACATGAGCTTTCACAGGTAGAAACAAATCAAACACCTGTTTACTATTTTTTTGCTTTTGTTTTTTTGTTTTGTCTTCGGTGGACAATGCTTTTGTTCACCATTTTCAAAACGGTTGTGGTTAAACAGCATATTACCAAGGAAATCTACTTAGTTATAACTGTTGCAATATCACATCATAATGCTTTGGAAAACATGTGAAAGAAAATAATTTGAATAGTTACATGTGTGTATTATAAGGTACCAACAGAAATTCTGCTCTCTGGTGTAGCACTGTTACTACCCAATTCCTTCAGGTATGAGTAGAACACACTTGTACAAAAATCTCTGTTATCCATACAAGTTAAATTGATTTTTGGTAACAATGAAAAATACAATATGCACTTTGACAATATATTTGCTAAAGAAACTCTTTCAAATATGGGCTGCTCTCAAATACTCAAATATTTATAAAATAGTTACAGAAATCCCACTTAACTTGTAAACATGTTATAGGCACATTTACTTAATATCAAAATCATCACAGACAAACATCTCAAGTCTGTGTGCAACTAAAATCATAGTTCTTCTAAAACAGTTTGTTATCAAATCAAGAGGACAGAATTCAAACTATATGCCTGAGAAATCCAGAAAATTATTGATACGTATAAACTGTAGGTCATCAATTCAGAATATGTTTAACTTTTAACATGTATTTAAATGTGAAGGCAAAAACCAAACAAAAGTAATGAAAAAAGAAATAACTCTTTCAAAAATAGTACATAGAACTGAAACATGAACTTAATTTGCAATTAGTTCTTATGAATCCACATACCCAGTCTCAGCTCATTATCTGTAGACATGATGGAAGTAAATCCCTTCACAGATTTTACAAAATTTCTAAGTAATTTCTAAGGGACATAATTTTCTAAATCAGAGAATAAAGACGGATACTTATTAATGTCTGTAACTTGTTTGATCACACTATGTACATTTTTGATGCACTGACTTTCTGCTGAAGAAAAGAAAAACAGAAGAACCTCTGTTATGACTGCTGACAGACAGAAAACTTTAGATCTTTCCCCCTCCCTCCTGTAGTACCTCCTTGATGTATTCCATGTTAATATAAACCTTTATAAACAAAATTGTCTGGTACAGGTTCTGATTTATATTTTGAAATATTAGAATAGTGGTACTGAAAAAATACAATGAAGAAAGATGAAGACATGCTGATAATTGTATTGATAAAATACACATTTACAAACTTGGTATGTTTCAGATAATTAATTGAAACAAATGCTGCATCAATGCAAACAATTGAATCTGTTAATTAGTATCAACATGACAACAGGTACAATGTGTCTGTGACAAGTTTAATATTGTTATATAAAGATTATTGTATTAGAACTGTGAGATGTACTGATAACCATGAACTGGTGTTGTAAATACTAAGTATTGTTATAACATAGTCATGTCTAGTTAAGGAAAAGAAAAACAACCATACATACCTGCTTTGGTTTCCCGATACACCAAACAAACTTTGCCATATCCATCACAAGGGTCCAACTCATAGATTTTACATCTATTGTCAAATGTTGGTTTTTCAAGACCTATTTAGAAGGAGACAATATATAGGAAAATTACAACATTGGCTTCAGCAAAAACAAACGGCTTGTAAAGAAATCAAACATTTATAGAATAAGGTTTACAAGACAAACAGTCAAAATAAGAGGGAGAGATCAAAGGCCAATAACTCTTCTTAACCTTCAGAAGTCAAAGTGCCCTTTTAGGAAAAATGGTGCTATATGGTTTGATAATAAAACATAAGAAATTTTAAAGAGATCTGTTTAAGATTTAGAGAAGAAATCTCTTAACAAGATTAAAATGTTGAAAACATTGTATGACTTTCCAGATTTCCTAATTTGCTCATAAAAAAAGCCGCTGTTTCTAGTAGCATTAAGCATTTACAATTATACATACCAGAAACTTCATCCTCTTGGTCCGAGTCACCTTCCAAGTCTGCCAATGAAGGGTTAACATGACTAGTGGGTGCTGTACCACCAATTCGCACCAGCTGACTCACCCGGTTTATCCTCATCTTACCCAATGGTTGAGGACCATCTATAGAAATAAAATTGAGAAAAACAAATTATAAATCCTTATATAACAGTGGAACAATGACATAAAGACCCAACTGAATTAGCATACAGTGTGTAAAAATTCAAAAGAAATTTTAAACTATTGAATGAAAATGTTTATTTTCAAAATTTGACAACATCAAAATATCTGGCCATGAGCTACAGATACTAATATTTGTATAATTATTCAGTTTAAACAAGACCGGGCACATACAAATTGTAATAATTATATATTGCAAAATGAATTCATAACAAGGTGAGAATAAACTAATTCAGTAAAAATTCTCAAAATTTTAACTGATAAAAGAAATCAATTTACACTGACTACTTACTGTCCATCTTTATACTCCATGTAAGTTGAAATCCATCAGATGTGAGGTAAAAGCTTTTTAAATCTTCCGGCAAAAAACATGTATTTCTCTGTAATGAGATATGTAGTTTAATTGTAGTGACATATCTGGTAAATGATTAAATCTGAAGTAGCTTACAATTTCTGTTATGAACGAAGAAAGATAACTCTTCTTTGCAAGTGGCATCTCATTTTGTTCCTCTAATACTCTTGTATGCTGTTGGTATAATAATCAGATGAAGTTCAAGAAAATTGCTGGGTTTTATTTACGGATTTCTGATAAATATACTTCCTAAGTTCTGTTTTTGATTTTTTTTCAAAAGACCCAAGATTTTAATTGCATTTTAGTTTGGTTTATTGTTGCTTTATAACCTATTAATAGCCAGGGGCTTATAAGACTGTGTCAGGTTTGGATAGTAGAGGAAAGCCAGAGTTCACACAGAAAAACCACTGACCTGCGGCCAGTACCTGGCAACTGCCCCATGTGGGTCTCAAACCGGTAACCCAGAGGTAGAGGGCTAGTGATAATGATGGTCAGATCCCTTAACCACTCAACCACCATGCCCCCTATGCTTTTTAATTGTCAACTCTAATGTTTGGATGCAATATAAAGAGAATAACTAGCTGACAACATGTAATATGTTAAAAATTGCCTACAATACTGTAAAGGTGTAAAGGCATTTTCACTTACGCCTCTTGCTTTAGTCAACTAAGCAACATGTTGTACATTTTGTTTGATCCTCGCTAATATACATCTAACATAGAAATTTTCCCACAAAACTATGAAATCACACAACTAAATACATTTATATTGAAACTAAAATCAGTATTGTTTCCTTTCCAAGAATTACAAATTTCACAAGGAAATGAATGGGAAGTTTTATTTAAAGACGTTTTATACTGAATATCAAAATCCAACATCTAAATTCTGTGAACCAGTGTAGTACATATTGAAAAATATTAGAAAATAAGCTTGTTTACTGCCAACTTGTATCTATATGATCAATTACACACATTAGAAATATGTATATAATTTACCAGATCACTGTAATCAAGATCTTATGAATTGAATTGGAATGCATGACTCTAATATATGAGAAAGAAAAAAAATGTGCTGAACTCACCTGTTCCCACATCAACACATTATGTCTGTCAGATGGTGCTCTCTGCTCTAACTCAACTTTGCAAACACCAAGGTGAGATTTTTTTTCTGAAAAAAAAAGATAATCCATTATGATCACTTTTCCTAGATATGTCTCTCAATGTTTAACTTGTTTACACTTTACAAAGCATTTCTTCGACAAATAATTTTAATTGACAAATTTTACTTTTACAAAGTTATTTGAATTCTTATATAAAATATATATTTTGTTGCTATTAAAATAAAAAAAAAAATTATCCCTGAAATTGGTACTGGGCGGTAAATGTAATATCATTTAGTAACACTGAAACGGGTATAAACTATAATCCATGGCCCTTGATAAAATCTATTACACCTAGCTATATATTTTTTTGCAGCGCATATATATAAAAAACAAAGGAACAAGTTTCATTTTTAGATGTCATATTTACTGATACCTGTATTATTTTTTCAATAGAACTTTAAGTACACCTGGAATTATTGATGGTGAGTTTATTCAAATCGAACACATCATTATAAAAGTCTGTTTCAGACATCAGTGTACATATTGCATTAAAATCTATTCCAATATTGATATTATTTTCACTATAATTTTGGTTTCCATTTTTTCCAAATACGATTGAATCTTTTGATTTTCCTAATCTCCTTTTATTTCTAAAATTTTAGATTTAACCAGTTTCTTTAACAATTTCAAAACTATAAGATGTCGTTATTTTTTCTGTTACCTTTTTTAGTAACTTACCCAAACATTTTACCACACCTATGTTCAGTAACTCCAAAAGTTGTCGTGTTCGAGCGAAATCATCCATTTTAATGAATGTGTGTAATTTGTAGCTATCTTAAGTATGCTTCCAAAGCTGTTTTGTCATGGTTATGATTCTAATCCATCATTTTTTACGAGTCATTTGATTATCGGTGAAGAATTTCGCTTCCGTTAGCCTCCATTGTTTACGCATTTCGCACTCGGTTAGACGCTTTGAATCTTCCACACTCTAGGGTGTAAGTAAAACGTTTCAATGACTGCCAACAGCGAACACTAAAGAGCTTGGCAACAAGGGCGATAATAAAAATCAGGTGCCTGAGCGCCGATTTTAAAAACAGTTCTTGACTTGTCTTTGTTTTCTTGGGGTTTTTTGACACAAACGCAGCCATGACGGCATATAGTAACATCTTTTGGAACTACTACTTTCATTCATAAAAGTTGACTCATAAAAATATCGCTACTTTGACAAATCGGAGAGCTGTGATTTCATCACGGCGTAACCTGCGATGTATCCTATGAAGTAATTTTTAATAAATCTGTTCGGATATATAAGTCGGTAGATTAAAAAGAAAGAATCTTGCTTATAAATCAAAACGTCCACATTAAGTTACGTGTTACGTTAATGCCGTTTTGATGTTATATTTTGACACAAACAATGATTGCGCGATATCATGTACCGACCTAGACCGAAGCTGGAATCAATAGTTTATATTGGCGATAGTCATAAACATTCGTATGGTTACATGTACATGTATATATTTACCAGGTACTGGGTCGCGACGCGATCTTGAACCGACATCTGCTTTTTACCATTTTTCGTACTTCTTTTTCCGAGCTTTAAAAATCTGAGTACGTTAATTTATCGACATGAACAATGCACAACACATTTGACACAAAATGCAGGAAATGTTGACAGATATTCTTGCAATTTGGGGACATCGTCATGACCAGTTATCGTGATAAGTCAAAGTGCAATACATTGCGCGTAACAAAACGAGTTTACCAACTGCATATACCGTGTATAGTGTCATGATCATATCAAAACGATTTTCAAACTATTGATGATACACTGATATTCCATGTCTTCTTCAATACCTAGAGATATTTACTGTTTCCATAGGATCGAATGAAACGCCTGAGTTAAGAGACAAAATCGCTGGAAGCGGTGCTTTCGGCGAGATTCGAGCACTTCTCATATAGGATGTACTTAAACATGTGAAAATCTAGAATATTGGACTGAAAAAATTGTGATACACGCATAGATATAATGATGTATTAGTGTTGATAATAATGATAATAATAATAAATATTAAATTAAAATAGAAAAGACAACGACAAACAATTCTTCTGATTTTGAATATAGTTCATCAGAGATTTATTTTGGATTAATATGCAAAATGTACTAGTAATTTTAGTTTCCATTCCATGTTAATACGTTACCACGTTTCAGGAAAGAAATTAAATTGTATTTAATTAAATATCAAAAGAAACTAACGTTTGGATGAAACATTTTCACTAGTTTGTGTTTCCCCTGCATCTTACACGTGAGACGTTTTTTCAGACAGGTGTTCGGTGAAGGAGCCAGAGGAAGCTCAGGCTTCTACATGACTGAATAACAATATGCTTGGTCAATTGAAGTGTTTGATTATCCGAAAAAAGAAAGAAAGAAGACAAACATCCAACAGCCTCTACCACACATAATGAATGATACCATTTATCACAATTGTTACACATGATTTTGTCACTTTAATCAGAATGTTTCGTTATTTGGCTAAAGCATTTTTACTTCTACAGTATTTAGTAGATGTTTGGACAATTATCTCTGTCCTCTAATAATCCCATCAGAATGTTGAGTTAAAAAAAACGAACACCAAAAACGCCTTATGCATGGAAGAGAAGCTCAATGCAACCTCTATTTTTTCTTTTTAAAATTTCAACATTTCCTGCATACTGTCTTTCTACATACATAACATATTTTTCAGCGTTATGTATATCCCTTACAAGAACTGGATAATTATGATGGAGATAACATGACATTTTTGTATTGACACTGCATCGAGATAGCTGAAGAAAAATTGAATTGTGATCTTATGTTTGAACAAAGCTTTTAAGAAGAATATGAAAAATATATTTATCTTATACCACATGTTTTTCCTATTTGGGGCATTTAAACCTTATTTAGTATGACTTATTTTTGTCCTGCTAAAGTATAAAAGATATGATCCATACCTCGAGCTCTGTTTGCTCTAAATGTCAAGAAAAGAATACCAAACAATCGAATTGGCTGTAAAATCTTGGCATACCCTTTTTTAGAATATGGAAACCGTTTCTATTTAACCTAGTTTAATTAACATGTACATATAAACATTTCATAATAACATATTTGGAGCAAAGGTGAACGAAATTACGCCTACGTTCAAGTAAAAACCAAACTTTCAAACCCCTTCTTCGCGATCAGAGTGCACTTCAGGAAAAACCTCTTAGGGGAAACCTGCGCCCGGCAGATAGGCAAAATGACCAAAGGGGAAGCAACGGGACTCGGCTTATCTAATATACATACATATCTCTTGTGAATGACTATTTTACAAACATAATTATATACACATAAATACATCTTGATGAAAACTACCTTTACAAACAAAGTGCGTTATATACAGAAAATTTGATAAGAACTATCTTTACTAACATAGTCGGTATCTAACTAAGAAGACAAGAAATAAAAACTCACACATACCAATTAAAGGGGGGTAGTATGGGGTGGTTGATGGGACGTGTTGTAAAATCAATGCAGGTGAATAATAAAGTTACGTTGCAAATAAGAAAAAACTTCTAAAGAAAATAAAAAAATCAATATGTCGTCGAGGTGTCTGAAAAATGCTGCTGAAGTGGAGTGTTTAATATCCCCGCAGGGGCAAACTGACCCCAGCAGTGATCACCTGACTTAATTACCATACATACATTTACATATAAACTGAAACATCATGTACATAAAACCTAATTATGTGTGAACCTTTATTGTACAAAAATATGTCTCTAGATAGAATTTGTTATTCATGTATTTGTTGTTCTATTTTTATTGAGATGTACACGCGCTTGCATTAACTTTTTACAGTTTGATATAAGTCAACATTTCTTAAGACGCTGCCACAATTGTATGTGTTGCATTGTATGAAATTCTGCCACGACTTTCGGAGTTCAGTTGTCCTCTGGATGCCATTAACGTAATACATAGTTGAGTTATAGCTGTCACAAAAATAATGTGCAGACACTAAATCATTTGGCCAAGGCATTTTAATTTTTTCATAAAAAGTATGTTGATGTAAATGCACCTCATTCCACAATGCAAAGAAAAGTACTGACTGGCAGAAAATCTTATATTTTGATTGACAATAAAATCGCACTACTCGTCAAAATCAAGTAATGACTGAGTCAGTAATATGATTATTTACTAAAACTCATAAATGACGACTTTGTAGCGCCAACATCAAGATCTATCTGTGATCCTTGATAATAACAAAATAACAAAAGGTATTCAAATTTCAACGGATTTTGTTCTCAGGACAGTCAAGTTTTTTAAAAGACTTAAACTTGAATGATTTGGACCTGTATGTGACACTTATTGTTGATTAAGGAAGTGGTGTTTTGTTTCAAAATGCCTAAATATACAGAAAGGTAACAGTTTCGGAGAAAACTGACAGCTTTACTACTTCTATATATCGGTGACATTTAACATCGTGACTTTGAAACTAAATCAAACTAGTCTTCATATTGTTCCCAACACCTGTTTAATGTTATCCCTACAAAAATGTTGAAGATTTTAGAGAAAAATGTTCATGGACTTTGACCTTTGAACAGAAGATCATGCGGTTTGGCGAACAAAATCTTCACCATGCATATGTCTTTACAATAAGTTGAAGGTTCCAAACCAATTTTGAATTTCGTTGCTGTTTCGGGATTTTGATTTCGCTCCCGAAGGCTTAATGACATGTGTGTATCCAGAGACCACACGTTCTGCTATTTTCCTCCAGCTACTCTCTGACATTACAATCATATCAAGTGCTTTATAATGTTTTCCTCCCACGAGAAAAAAAGGAGTGGAATTTAACATGCTTTACACTGTTCTTGTCCCCCGCCATGAATCCCAGAGGATGGAGAAAACAAATTTTGGCCCTTCAGACCTTGAAGGGAGTGACAATAGGTTGAATCGGTGTTTCATGTGAAGAAGTTAAAAATGTGAAAAGTTCTTTGATGACGGACGGCGTATGGGACAAAAGGCTCAGTAAACCTAAACATTTTTTTGCTACATTACTTTGTTAAGTTTATGCATGTATGTCAAGCGTCCTGGTGATGTATCTACACTATGAACAAGTGATGATTACTTAAGAAGTAGCATATTTTGATTAGTTGATTACAGGTTTTCGGTCTCCATAACTCTTCCTATCACTGGGTTTTGTCTCGACTACGAACGCCAGTGGTCTGACAACTAGAAGTTAAGGGACAATCTGTTATTGGATAGAGCCGTCTGTAAGGATGTCCGAATGTTGAATAGTATTAGAAGACAGTTCCTGGACCTAATGGTGCTTTATTCCGTCAGTGGCGCTGACGTCGTTCATCACGCTGTGGCAGTTATCACTAGGTTGTCTAGATGGGAAGTAGGATTAATCATATGTGGATTTTAAAGAGCTCCAATTAGCTCTTAATCAATACTACTATGATATCTCCTTCTAAATATATTTTTGTTTTCAATAAGAACATTGGAGTTTCTTCACTTTGAACACTACCATACTCCGTTCAAAACTGAAGGAACGCTTCATTTTCCTATTATGAAGGCATTATTTTCAGATAGTTGAACGGCAGTACAGATATACTGTATAGATGTGAACTATACTGATGTGTATATGTATTTAATGAATATACGAATATGGTTAACAGTATATGTTGTTTCTGGGTTTTGTGAAGAGATCTTAGAACAGAAAATTGGATAACGTATGGGAACAAATTGTTCCATGTTTGACTGACTTTATTTTGTTTCGAGGCTGAATGTATGGAAAAGCTTATCAAACCTGACAACAAAATCTTCCATTTCACTTTCAAATATTACAATGACGTCTTGTCGTTAAATGATAACAAGAAATACCCACCTAAACTGGAAATCATGGACACGACCGACTCTTCATCAGCTGATTACCCCGAAATTTTACAACAACGTAATAAAAAGGGACATTTTTTTATCCAACTGTATGATAATCGTGATTATTTCCGTTTCTCTCATGTGAACCTGCATCCCCATGGTGACAACATGTCGCTCTTAATTCGATATTTATAACTAGGGCAAAATGTTGGGGGGGAGGGGGGGGGAATTACACGGAGACTCCTGAAATGTACAGGGAGAATAAGACTAGGTGTTCCAAAAGAGTAAACGTCATTTGCTTAATCTTTCTTTTCACACTTTCTTTCAAACACTACACATTTTCACGTAAATTCGAGGACTAGTTGAAAGGCGATATACAAAAAACCTGACTTTATCTGCCACTGACTTTATCGACAACCTGTCAAATTCGACCAGACATGTGGTGATATATCACTGTAACAACCAGACACTGTCGTTTCCTGTACACGTTACCTCTCTACTGCTGCACCAAGTGTCACTTCGCCACCCCTCTATAGTTAATTGATCCCAGAACTCTGATAATCATAATCGCCAAGGAAACGACTTTATACATGTAATCTATTCTATTGTGTAGTTATGACATTGGTATGTATTCAATTATATTCTGTGCTATGTTTGAACATTATTTTGACTATGATAGGTGCATAAACTGAAAATATTGGTCAATGTAAAGACGTATCAGGTGATTTCATTTTCTGTGCTCGACTTGAGCAAATTACGATATGGCAATTATCAGGTAGCGTCTGACGAAATAAGGCGACATAGAACCAACCGTTTATATACAAATATTGAGAGGAATTCATACACAATGAACGTGCACAAAGTACTTGTTTTCAAATAATTCACCTCAATTTCTCTGTTATATATTGATCAGAATTAAGTTTAAACAAATAGTAAATTTCACCTTTTAAGACTTAATTCTAAAATAGAAAAAATCTGATGAAATAAGGCGGCATAGTACCAACCGTTTATATACAAATATTGAGAGGAATTCATACACAATGTACGTGCACAAAGTACTTGTTTTCAAATCATTCACCTCAATTTCTCTAAATTTTCACCTTTTAAGACTTAATTTTGAAATAGAAAAAGTCTAGGAAGAAGGTAAATTGGTGCCTAAATCAAAGTCAATTAAGTTTTTAAAGGACATGCAAATTTTATCAGATATTCCAGGATCAACCATATGGACGTAAGCCTCTAGCTGTATACGGATTAGGGAAAAAGTATCTGTTTGGCAGACTACTATGTTTTGACATTTATTTCTAAGTCTTTAAATAGTTCTTCACGGTCAGCGAATGTGAATATAAAACAGCTGCAGTGTAAATAATAATAATATAATAATAAAAAATGATAGTAATAAAAAAGAAATAAGATTATATAATGATTTGATAATAATATATATGTTTTAATTTTGCAAGACCTTGAACTTTGAACTGATCGATTGTTTTAAAGGACCCAGTACTCATACTGCGTGAAAAACACATCTTAGCAGTTAGAGTTTGTGATAAGGTACACTGTACATTGTATTTTTAGCTAAAACTTTACTTTTGCCTTTATCTGACATAGAACTGAAAGTAAACGTTGTGTAATAATTGATATTTCGCACCGTTTAATTATTGTCCGGAGCCAGAGAACGTATATTTTTGTGTGACATCGACAGAGTTATGGTAGGCGGGGCAGGATCTACACTCCTCTTTATACAGCACATACAGCACTTGAATAATCTCCGTCGGATTGCGTCAGTCATACAACAGTAAACAACGAAGTTAACAAATCCTTGGGCGCTGTCTCCTATTCCCTACAACATATAAACATTTTGTAAGTTGTTTGACTTCTGTTAAAAAACTAGGTTAACTTCAGATATTTTATTCCTACCAAAATTATGAATTTTTACACATGAATAAAAAAATAAAAATATATTTATAACTTGTTAGTTTGCAAATTCTCAAAATTTACTCACTTGCATTGGAACAATCCACTTCACTTCCGGTTTATCAGCATACTCTGGCGCGAAATTTCCAATGAAAAATCGTATGGTTCCCCAAATACGACAAAGGATGAACACCAGCGGTACAAACATCAACTTCCGGTTTGCTGATTCTATGGCGGCTTTCTTAGACTTCCGGTTGGATTTTGATGCCAGGCTTGTTTTGGCCTATTGGTATAATTGATAACATTAATGTACGGTAACGTTTTCTTCATACATTGTTAAACAATATTTCAAGAGATTGCAGCATTACTTCTCTAAAAAAGACACGCAATTTTGTGTATCAAAATTGTGATTATTTGCAAATTTTCACTTTCCTAACAGCACTTTCCTGTGTGCGTAATACATAGTAGAATTTCACTGTTATACATCAACTTTGTGCCAATGATATGCAGGGTCAATGTGAATATATGTGAATGTGGATTTCGTCATCATATTTCACTTGGACACATGCATATCCATAAAAGGTGAATTCGTAAAAATATATATTGCAGATCTAAACAGGCCAAGTTAACCGAGTACCCAACAACTGTACATGACTTGTCTGTTGAATACGCACCTTCCGCCGGATGTAAACAACCACGACAAAAGACAGTCCAGTGGTGAGGAGGGAACAGGTGAATTCCCACACTTTACCCGTAAAGAGTTGCCACACAATAGCGTTGGGTACCAGTGGGTCAATCCAGCACCAGCTGGCCTGGGTTATGTTGTGGTCATAGCCGAGAACGTCACTGGACCATGCTGTTATGGTCACTACACCTTTAAAACATAAATGTGATTTGAGATTGTCAAAAGTAAACTTTCAATTTACTATCAAAAATTTGAAAACCAGAAATGTTTATGAAACACAATGGCCTCGGTTAAGATCTAAATCACATGGTCAAAAATGGTGTTACCAAGAGAATGGTGCTTTCACAAGGACCACACAAGCCAAATATGACAGCCATACCTCTTTTGATGCGATGGTTATGGCCGATGATATATTTTTTTTCAAATATAGGTCAAAGGTCACGGTCAAGGTCACATGATGGAAAATGTTGGTATCCACAGTAAGGTCTTGTCACAAGAAACACGTACAAAATATGACAGCCATACCTCCTACGGTACAATAATTATGGACAAAGTTAAAGTTGACATCAGATAAACAGATAGCACAAAAACATCCGAGACATAAAAAGTCAATGAGCATAATTAGATAAGATAACTATTATTGGACATTTCTGAGTACATTATAAATAATGTTCAAATTGCAGGTATCTAGAATCACGGTATGTAATGACATTTATCAGCTCTCTGAGTTAACAAAACGGTCAATATCACTGTATTATTGTTTATTTCCATGTGAAAGAATATCAGTATAGCATCAGATAAGTTATACACATATTGAGTTTGAAAGCCATACTTGGTAAACCCCAGCTGACCAGATGGAAGACCTTCATGTATCTGGCGGTGAAGGTGAGGTTGGTACACACAATATTCATAAAGAGACAGAGTGCCATGACCGTTGTCCAACAGAAGGCACCAATACTAGAGAAAATGGTGAGAGCGCTATGGAACTGACAGTATGTCATGTTCCTACATAAGAATCCGTCCCTATACAGGACCCATATTACACCTAGAATGTTACCAAATGCTATCGTCGCATCCATCAAACTCAGATACACCAGCAGCTGTCGCGCGTACGTCCGGAGTTCCTTGTAGGCGAAATACAACACAATGATACCGATACCCCCAGTCAGAGAAAGCAGAGAAACTACGAGGGTCAAATAAGCATACATCATTCCGTCTCTTGTGGATGTAACATAAGAAGCGGGGCCGGAAATGTTGATAACTTTAACCATTTCAGTCTACGTCTCCTTAAAGAACTTGCGCTATCAAATGGCTCCAACAGATTGCAACACGTAATACACAAACATTTCTACACACACGTTTGTCAGGAACAACTTTGACAGACTGAGTACTTGTGGACAGCATCAACCACCATGTCACGAGCAGAACGCTGTGAATCCGAACACCGCAACTGGAAACGTAGGCCTGGTAACTTGTTGTACCTTTTTTATGTATGTACCGAGTTAGACATACTTAATCTTATCGTCAAATTATCCTTCGTTTGTCACTAAATCAATTCATCACCCGGATATTGGTGAGGGATGGAGTAGGGAGTGCCGAATGATAGGTACGTGTATCTATATATAGAGAAAACGTCACTTGCGAAAAATCTTCATCCTATTTTTAAGGTCAGGTTGCAATTTACATGGATTTGTCTTCAGGATGCAAAATTGTTTTAAGCTTAAATAGATCTAAATACCATTGGTGATGCACGATGTCCACGGGGGCCAACAGAAACTTCCTATATATGACGCCAGATAGCAACATATTGAATATATGTCACAGTATTAATACGCTTCATTGATTGGCTGTTATTGATGTGTAATTGATAGCAAAGTAATCCAAATTTGTTTGGCAAAATCGTTACACAGATTTCATTTAACTACTTTTCTTATCTATTTGTAAACAATGCCATACTTTGTGTAAATATGTATTGCTCAATTAACAGGTCCCTGTGTATGTTGAAGTGGCCGTAATGTGACGTCAGTATCGGGTGCTGTTGTAATTAACATCCCACTTTATGATACTGCGGTTTACCAGCTAGTACACTATCATTCTAATATTACTGAAAATACATCGCTAAAACATTATTGTTACAACCATTGCATACAGTGTATTTCCGTTGTGTATTCTCTAATTGGCTTTACCAACAAAATGGATGGTTTACACTCCGGTAAACGACAAGTCTGGCATGCAGGACGCTAGATCGCTTGGTACGCTGACGTTAATATTTAGTGTAAATCCGCTTTTATGTTTGATATAACGTTTGCGCTATGGTGAATTTATTTTGTGCAGAAGCTTAGAAAACTCTAAACAATACGGTGATCGAAACGTAAATATTTAAATTATATCATAAGATATCATAAAAAGAGGATGTTAGTTGGGAGCAAAGAAAAAAAAAATCTCCTATGTAGAAAATGTATACGGAATTTAAACAGGCATTCGAACATTACAAGGTTGATAATCGGTCGATTTCCAGCAATCCTGAAATACAAAAGAATATGGGAAAATGCAAAACCAAACACAGCTGAGACGAACGACAAGTAACGAATCATTTGTTTGAACTCTTCAATATCTGGTCAACGTGTTAATTGGGAGAAATATAAAATTTCAGTAGGTGCTGCCACTCCTTTTATGGAAATAAGTTGAGAACTTATCATACTTATAAGAATGACCTGAGCTCTGAACCCTATATTAATAATATTATATATTTAAGTCAAAGACAAGTATTGGCAAAGTTCTGTGGTAGTAGTCGTAAGCTGAAAGTGGAAACAGTATTCTCGTCCTGTTTTTCCTCTACACGATCGTATATGTCCTTTGTGTTCATCTTATAGTGTTGAAGACGAGATGCATTTTATACTTAAATGCGATCTCTTCTCAGACATAAGAAATTACCTTTATCGATCAGTTATTACCATAAATCCGTCCGTTTTGTATCTGTGGGATACTTGTAAATTTTATTTTATAATAGCAAGTCGTTGTTTACAAAATACTTAAGCTGTTGCACTGCCTCACCTGTACTGCAACGTCCATGATTTAACTTCACTTCTTGTTGTATATCGCTGAAGTTTCTATTCTGTACCACGGGCATCAAATATCTTTACTTCGTTCATGTACAGTATTGAAGTTGTCATTGTGTACCACGGGCATCAAATATTTTGTTTTTTGTTCATGTACAGTATTGAAATTTTTGATAATTTTAGGTAAAATACAACAATTTTATCGTGTCTCATAAGATAATTTTGGCTATATATCGGTATCTGCGTGTCTTTATGTTAGGGAAAGTTTCTACTTCTTGTACTATCGATATTTGACACTTTAAAAACTAAATATATTTTATTGTATTGTCACAGGTACACCTGGTTAATACCCACATACACTGGGTCACAGGTCACAGTGTGTCCAGGTTCATCACCTGATATTTACCTGTATATCTTCATACAGTCTAAGCTGACATGGAGAGTGGATATAGTACCATTCTTAATTGACAAAGTATTCTTCCTATAGTGCTGAACATGTTTATTTAGTCAAATGTTGCCGATTAAATGACGAATATGGCTAGTGGCGTCACAAATGATCGATCAATGAGAAGTCTTGGTTTTCAGAAGGGAAATAACTCTTGATGGTGTTTACATGTAGACACAGTGTTACATGTACATCGTGCAATACATTGATCGCTTTCGTAAGACACTATCTTATGATTTTCAAGAAAACATGTTATTTTTTATTTTATTTGCTGATGGCCTTTTTCTATGTCTGATTGTTTGTTTATTGTTCTAAAAGGCCTTGTTAATAAATCATCACTACCAGTGCAATCTCAAGAAACAATAGATACATTTAACAAATATGATGAAATACTGTCTATTGAATATGTTCTGATATAACACCTTAGAAACAATTAAGAAAATAATTGAGATTTTTTCATCTAATTAAACATCCCGTTTCCTAAACGACAGAAGTGTTTTGCCAGAAAATTGATGATTTTGCAACTCAGGACTGATGTATTTACCGAAGTTCGGAACAATACGATAAACTATATATATCTTGTGAAGACATACTTCATATGTTATTTATCAGTTACATGTACTTACACCTTGGGACGTTTGGAAGGTCTTGTTGAATTACTTTGTTCAAATAAAGGCTTGTTTGAACACTGCAATCATATAACCACCAAATAACTTTCCAGTGTTAGAAAAGTTTTATTGTTTTTGTTTTTTTGTTTTTGTTTTTTATCAAGAGTGAAATTAACAGCACCACTTATCCACTTTTCGTAGCGACACTCTTTTGAATATCACACCATGAAAAGAAGTTTCGCTAGGCGTTACATGTATAGCACAAAGTTATATAATAATGCATTTCTAGATTGTCTGTTGTGTAAATAATTTCATAAATCGGAAATGCGAACACGATATGATGTACTACACTTGTATATTGTACATTTTAATCCTACATGAATATGTCTGCCCTCGTCTGCCGACACCCAGAAGTTTTGCTAGATTTTACTAGTGCATGCTTTCATAATGACAGACTAAACAAAAACTAATGCTGTGTATATATTCATTATATTTTGTAACAGTGACATATAACGTATATAGTATACGTATTTAATATATATACAGTGCTTCCCATAATGATTGATAGGTGACAGATTGTTAATGTGATGCACCATGATTCTAACACTTGCATAATTTGCATATATACATGTATAAGGTGTAAATTTAACAAGAAAAAACATTTTCATCATATATAATGTAAAAACCTGATAACGTCTATGATATCATAGTTCACATATACAATTTTGCATGACCTTGCTCGTACATATCATTATGTAAGTAAAACACAAAGACAAACAGCGAGAAAATAAATTTGCTTTGTGCTATTTTGGTTTGCTGTATTGTTCATTGGAAGACCTCTCAGACATTTCACCATATCCAACAGATAGGCATTGCATAGGAATTACTCAGCGTTAATCATGTTCGCTGTATTAAGCAGGAAACACATACACAGGTGTCCTAACGCCTTCGGTAAGGCAGATACATATAAAATAATGTTTCGTTGAAGGTAGAAGTAGAAATAAAAACAAATGACTATGTTCAGAACACTTCTGGTGTGTAAGTAACCATCCTCTCAGCTTTCGGAAAAAAAACTCTCTTCACTTTCAAAACTTCGGCAGTCTTATTCGTTGTATTTCCATTTATTACAAACGTCCATTGCTCATTTCCGGTTTGACTTGTCACTCGCCCTCAAGTTATTCGTCTGATAGGTAAGGAGCGACACGGTATAAGCAGAAGTAAATAATTATCGGTGTAATGAGGAATAACACGATGAATGACCATTCTATGGCAACGATGGCGAAAATCATGTAAAACTCCACTTCACAAAGGGTATTCTCCCACACCGGGTCCATCCAGTAATATCGGTACACCAACAGACACGTGCCTGATAAAGAGGTAACACATATATAAGAAAATATATAGTTTATGATGTATTGAATGTAATCGGTGAGAAATCTTTTAATGTTATTCAGTTAACTATCATCAGTTCATTATCCGCAATTCTGTGATGCTTGTTATCAGTTTGATTTTTTATATCAATATGAATGATGTGACCTAAATGTAATTTTAATGTCATTTGAAGTTTTTCATCAAAGCTGAAAATAATTGAAAGACAATGTGCGTTATTAAATGTTTACCGATGATTGTGGAAACGGTTCGACATAAGAGGGTCACGATGAAAAAAACCGGACTCTGTTTCTCCGCATCCTCCTCCTTTTTTGACTCATTTATACAACCACCGATACGTGTATTCCATGCCATGATGACGGTTGGGAAGAAGAAGACGGACAGCAAGCCATTAATAAGGACATAGGTCGACATCATCATCTCATTTCGGCAGTGGATGAAACACAACACTCCTGTTACACAAAATATATAAAATTGAATCCTCTCGAGCAATTGAAATAGTTTAAAGCTGTCTTCAGAAACAATTATATGGACTTTTTCAAGGAAAGTTTAAATGTCCTTAAATTCATTATGTTTGTGGTAAAATGTTAAAAAAAATAATTTCAGAATTAAGGACAAAATTCTTCGAAGAATGATTAACGTATTTACTGTAGGTTTTCAGAGCGGACCTTTGTTTGGTTTATAGTACACAAGCGCGTGATGATCCTTACCTAGACACGTGATGAACATTCCTATAGAGACGTTGACAAACAAAAAGGGCGTACTTGTAATCCTACAACCTAGAAAACAGAAGAAACAGCACTTTTTGGGTTTATCATAATTTGCCAAGAATATTATTGCGGGGATGTTTTGCAGAAGGAAAGGGCTGTGGGCCTGACATTATGTTTGAGGATCATAGAAATCCCCTCTCTCAAGACACGTCAATGTAACCTGTAGAAGGGTGCTTAAGGAATTCATTGTACGACGCTTTGAAAATTTGCAGTGTATTGATTAAACATCAAATAACACAAAAGTGTTGAAAAATACATACGGTACGAATGCAATACATACACATGCAGTACTTGTGACGGACATTTCCACCCAGTCTGGACCGGAAGCTCACGAAATTATTCTGACTACCTTCCCAGCTCTTGAACAGAAGTGACCGAAATGACTGATTCATAATGCTGTCCTGGCGTGAGATCACGGACTGACGGGGATCCATGTTTGGTTGACCGGAAGTTGCATTGACAACGCTTTCTTCCTCCAACATGACGAACTCACCTCCTGTGGAATACATGACGAATTGAATACGCAGTTTTTTTTTGTTCTTTCTTTCGATTTGAAAATCATTTACTGTATCACTACTGTTTTCGACAACAGATTCGAAAGGGATCTTACCCTTTTCATCATGCCTTTCACAGTACATATGTACATGTAAATACATTGTAATGACACGTCAGGGTATTATTGTGAGTCAATAGGAACACAATTACTGCTTCGCCTGTGCTGTTCCTCATAGGAACTGTAAACTGTTATTGCTATCATAAACATTGTTTGTTACACCTAGAAATTATTGATAATATCCTATATCACATAATTCAATACCCTATGAAACAAAATATTGCGGACACATCCGAACCAGTGGCTAGGCACTGATCTAAATGTAATTTTTTGAGGTGTGGACCAATGTTAAGTTATAAATTGACACAGGATATTAGATTTTTCACACACATTTAATATTATGGAACATTGAAATATCTCATAACAATTACAAATTTCTACATCTGTGGTAAGATACGTAATTAATCCCTAATGAAGTCACTGAATAGGATCAAACGGTCTGTCTCGTTACGTCTGCTTACGTTCACAAAAATACGCGTCGAACGCCATTTCTGAATCAAACGTGTCTAAATGCTCTTGCATCCCCGTGTCCCATTCTCGACCACTTCCAAATACGAAACTGCTACAGTCCATCAATGATGCTGACTTTCTGTTGACAGATACTGCCTGCGTTTTCTTGCAATTTCATTGTAGTGAATATACATGTTTTATATGAACAATTAACAAGGGTAGTGGCTAGACACCTTTTGTTACATGGAAGTACAACTCAATACTTGCCTGCTAGCTCAAGATAGCACTTGCTCAGTGTTTACCTGTGCCTGTTTCACATGTACAGAGCAGTGGGGCGTGACCACGGATTTCGTGGCGATGGTACACGCGTACTTCAGAATGACTTGTCAACAGGCGTGTAATGTTGTCACAAATTAAAGATGTTGTCATTTAAAGTTTCATACGAGTTAATTACCACTTCTATAAAACACACACAATTTATCCATTTTTTGCAGGCCGATGTAAAGTGCCTAATAACGACATACATGTACGTATATACTGGCAAGTATATGTACATATATATATATATATATTGTACATGTGTGTCACATAAAAACGCGGTCCATGAATATTATTAATTTTCTAACCACCTACGATAAGCATTTGCATCTTTGTCTTACGTAACGGAATATACAATATATATTTATTAACTGCTTGCTTACCGGGAGAGGAGGTCTCTCACTACCTGTCACCAACACGCAGAAAAGTTCACCCAAGAAACGGCGTCTTTGTCTCGCTACGTATACCTAGATAGAGGGATGACCCTCAACGTGCAGTCAGCCGTGACGTTATACATATCTTCATTATACAATATCATCTAGATGGATGTCTTCTCTTCATAAAGAAACTTAAATCGTACCGTTTCGTTAATGACACGAATACATATAACGCTTATTTCAAATTGTCTCTGTAATAATGTGCAGGATGATTATAACGCAGTATTATACCTGTACAAGTAGAGAATGAATACAACGCAAGAGCGGATCACTAGGCGATCAAAGTACTGAGATAAGGACTCTTCATTACCCAATCATCATACCTGCTAATATTTTCTAATTTATTTCATTTGCCAAAACGCATTGTGTTTCTTCCCATCAAGGCCTTTTGGGAATGTTACATGCATGTTAGGGATCAAGACATGGTTTTGTCATTATTTTTGCAAATGATACTGATATAAGACAGTTACCATTTTCAGGTCACATGTATCTAATGTAAGTTAATGGATTCCATCCGTTACTTAATTTAATTTTGCTCATTAATGCATATTCGGAATTCAGTTACGTCACCTATCTGCCTAGAATCATTTATCTTGTCTTTCCTGTCGTTTTACTTTTAACCTTTCGAAATTAATTCCATGTACAATTTTTGAGAGTTTTTATTAATGACGAATAATAATAGAAGTCGTGTTTTATCATGGTACAAATTGTTATGTCCGACAAGATTCAAACAACAATGTTGGGATGATGAATCCTGTAAATCGTGGTGGTTAGACAGTGCATACATTGTCGATCGAGCACTCGGTCGAGGTTTTGTTCTTATATCATCAAGAAGAGGTACAAGGAGCATATAATGTACGTCATTTCTATTTTGGGAACATCCAAATCTCTAAACAGATCAATTACTTTTGATGTCCAGATTTGAAGACCTGGAACCGAAATATATGTATTTTAAGTATGTGCATGTTTTCATTGTTGATAACTTTAACTTGTTCTCATAACCACCCCCTTTCGAAATATCTGGTCTTATTCTCCTAATATTTTTTTTGTGTCCATAGTCTTTCATTTGTTCATGTTTTGTCCCTGTCTTTTATTACGACTTTGTTATATTTTGTGTAGTTGTTTTGAATAGGACAGAACAAATGAAAGTTCTTATGACACAATCAGTAGAAGATTTTAGTGTGAGGTGTGAGACACATACTCCCACGCATATCAATGACCAAGTGTTACACAAAACGTAGCCGAGTTGACCACAGTATATTGTTACCATCTTGTGTATTAAGTTTCTTTATGTTTACCATATTGTCACGCTATTTTCATCCTAAGTGTGAATAGGATTATAGTACAGCAGAAAAAGTTGGTCGATTTCTTAAATACCATTTCGTACACTACGTATATTGAACGTCAGTTCTAGTCCGCTCCACACGAGTCATTTGTCTGATGAAGATGACCTTGTACTCCTCGAAACATTTCATTCTAATTTTCTACTAATTGGTTTATAAGAACTAAGAAATTGTTCCGAAAAAGTTTTGAATAGGAATCCGTATCCTATGTAAACGCAAAACTGCATAGATTATATGAGCTTATAAACACAAAAGTGCACACTTTTTGGGTCCAGAGGAAACGGCAATGTTCCCGCAGGTTTCTCGACAACGTACCTATTGACGACGTGCTCGTCGGGGATCTCGGTATGACGTCACTGACAGAAGTAGGGGACCTGTGCAGGGCGAGTTTAGCTTTGCCACCACTATCGAACAGTTCGTCAAAAGAGGGAAAGTCCCATAACGGGGATGCGGTAGACGAAAACGAGACATTCCGAGAGAATCGACTCCAGCGACTATTGGAACGTGCCCTCGATGAATGTGTAGTGGAGCTTCCATCCTCCTCCGATTTGACTCCACTATCTGTTAAGAGACAGTGAAAGGCATTAATCAGTCTTCTTAAAAAATATGAATAAAAAAATCACGTACGTTAAGAAATACATACATGCATGTTGAGATAAAGACGTATGTTTGTGTATGGTCCCAAGTTACTGTACATACACATGTATCATACGATTATACTTGTGATATACTGTGGATTCGTTATGAAAATTCATCGAAAACAATGACCCTCCAAAGTACACCTGAAAGTCAATATTATGCAGTTTGCATACGCAAATGCATAAACCTGTAGTCATAGCTAAAACAATGAAATAATTCGTTTCGTTTCTCTCATTTCATTCCGTTTCTTTTTTCATCCATTGATTTATTTTTACTTGGATCCACAGGTAGATCTAGACTTAGACAGTACCAGAGATTTCTTTAACGATTTATGATCCCGAGTTGATTGCTATGAAGACAAGAATACTGCTTGTTACCGGTGCCTGACACAGGTGGTTACTCGCGACTAAATCTTACGTAATGCTATACCACGATTGTATTAGTACTTCGGCGTTGTGTACATACAATATATTCGATATTACATTTTTTGTTTTCATTAACCATGAATGGAGTTCGTTTAGGTTTTAACACCTCGTGATAAGCTGCTGTTCAGTGTTATGTTGATTAACCCATACATTTGTACATTCCATAGGTGAGCGGAGACTTGCATTGTATGGGGGAGGCGTCCCGTCGCTGTTACTCGATACCGTGTGTCTATAAACACAATAAAACGCCATTTATACCACGTGAAGCGTTTCATGGCAAACTCCTGAAGAAACATGCACAAAATATCGTGATAGGAAAAGCTAAACACCTTTTTCAATTCGCGAGTCTATAATTATAGCAAGTGTGGTTGTACGGGTCTAGCCTATCATTTTTCATTTGAAATATTAATAACCCATTCTTATCGTTACACGTATATATATTCTTGTAGACTAGGTCCAATTTTGTCTACATTTTCATACTTCATCGGGGCAAGTGTGAGACCATCCATAATCAAATTAGCTACATACTCGCTTATACATGTATATTTGTAGGTTAGACTCGGTAGTGGATTAAATTGTCGTGAAGCTGAACATCACGTGATGATATAAACACAGATCGTGTATTGCAGAGCGAAATGAATTAACTATAAGATGTAATTGGGTCGGGAACTCGTGTCACTATATAAATAATCCATGTGTATATATATGTATGTATTACTTATATATATGACTCACTACTTTAAATTCACATTTTTAAACTTGTACAAAATTCATATTTCTGGCTCCATATATAACTGAATTAAGAAACAGGGATTTTTAAATTAGCAAACCGATTACACCATAATATATACAATTACCCTCCGACTCTGTTTTCCTCCGGATGAATGCCAATGAGAGTCTTTTCTGAGAACTGCCGTTCTTTTCTAAGGTTGTGGTGGTAGACGATACCTCTCCCACAGATGGTTCTGGTCCCTCCCCGGGTCGACTGATAACTGACTCCTCATCTGGCTGATAAAACACAACCGTACTTAGTTTCCGAGTTTTATCCATAACAGGGTAGATACACAGCCTTTCAGGTTAATCATTTCACTTCATCACAACAATTATGGGTCACTGCTCGCACACACATGTCCAGAGTATGAACGACGTCGATTTTAGATAGCCTGAATTTATTCATCCGATAGCAAATTCTACAGTGTTTCACACGTATTTAAAGGTATTTACGTTAGGAAGTACACCTGCGTCAGTGAAGCGTGCACGTGGTCATGCCATACATGTATATAAATGTTACTACCTGGAGCAACACGTACCTTGATCTGGACAAGATCTTATACCCTGAACAATGAAACTAAGTACTACATACCTATGTCCCTGATATACTTTGTGGCTAACAAAATAAGCCACATGACATAGTTTAATTTGCATAATTACGCAACTAATGTCTTCTGTCCTTTTGTGTTCTGGCAGTCGACTGTAGACTAGATGTACGTAAGCAGTAACTGACGGTGAAGATACTTTACTATTTATGTAATTAACGTATTTTGGATTTCCGAGCTTTTACTTCAGGACACATAGAGAATCGTATATTAAATACCAATAAAACTAAACAAGAGCCCACCGACAGGACAAGTAGACAGGAAAACAGGTTAGCTGAATGTTATATCACTCCGATATCTGTGAGTTACTTCCCTTCCTTTCACTGTCAGATGTGTAGCGATAAGTTCCACAGTCGAAGGTAGCTGAAAATGGAGTATGTGCGTGAGTATATCAAGCTATTGAGAAGGTTTTGACAGAGGTGACCATAAAGTAAGGTTTGCTACCATCTTGGTCAGTTTGAACGACTCACCAATCAGAGAATGACTCTTTATTTTTCAATTCATGTTACATGTATCAACACTACAATTTGACATGCAATATTTATGTGTTAATTATCAATCCATGAATGTAAATTTCCCAACGGAATTTTACAATAAGATAAATATGCATTTAACTTCGATGTTGACAGTCATCATTAATTTGTAAATCTTTTTTTTTCTGCAACGGTCTACATTTTTTAATGCTGACTCCGTTTTATATCCATGTCTATGAACAGTTCCAATTCAAAATCAATTAAACGAGAGCAAATATTTAAACAAATACAATTCCAATTCAAAATCAATAAATGGGAGCAGAGAATGAACAGGTGTTCCGGACGGGTAGGCATCTTATGTAACCTAACCGACCCAAGTGATGTTGTGCTCTCAAAGTTATTATCATGTTGATAACATTGGCTTGCTAAGGATCATCTGAGTAAATTCATATCGTACACAGAACTAAAAGACCCCCCCCCCCAAAGTGATCAGAGCATGCTTCTCTCGCAGCACTGCTTTCACGGTACATCTTTTATTAATCCGTATACTTGTATCACCATTAAAATAATGTATGGGGGCAAAAGAAATGCAGTTCTAAGTTGAATATATAAACGAAATTGTATATGTAAGACGTTACATTGAGAGTTTATTTATCATGCTGTAAGTTTTCATTCTGTATCGTCAGGATTTCTGCGAGGGAGGTTTTTTTTACTAGATGCTGATGAGTTCTTCAACAGTACGACCATTGATTGGTTAGTGTCCGCCTCCATACATTCATTCAACAGTATGGTCACTGATTGGTAAGTGTCCGCCTCCATATATTCATTCAACAGTATGGTCACTGATTGGTTAGTGTCCGCCTCCATACCTTCATTCAACAGTATGGTCACTGATTGGTTAGTGTCCGCCTCCATACCTTCATTCAACAGTATGGTCACTGATTGGTTAGTGTCCGCCTCCATACTTTCATTCAACAGTATGGTTCCTGATTGGTTAGTGTCCGCCTCCATACTTTCATTCAACAGTATGGTCACTGATTGGTTAGTGTCCGCCTCCATACTTTCATTCAACAGTATGGTCACTGATTGGTTAGTGTCCGCCTTCATACATTCATTCAACAGTATGGTCACTGATTGGTTAGTGTCCGCCTTCATACATTCATTCAACAGTATGGTCACTGATTGGTAAGTGTCCGCCTCCATATATTCATTCAACAGTATGGTCACTGATTGGTAAGTGTCCGCCTCCATATATTCATTTAACAGTATGGTCACTGATAGGTTAGTGACCGCCTCCATACATTCATTCAACAGGCTCATATATATATCAGGGGAAGTTCAGAATTTTGGAGTTCCAAAACCTGACTGAAAGTCTACTATATATTGTACATATGTGGCGGGTTGTGGCATATGGTCAGATGTCCTAACTAGATTTATACAATGTAGTGTTGCAACTACTTACTGTTACATATTTCTTGCAATAAGAGTTATGGGAAAGGCTCAGTTTGATCAAATCTAATTACACCATTTTGGTGGTGATTATCATGAAATGATTGTAGAAGAGTTATATTACAACTGTACGAGTTGTCTCTGATACCAATATTACTTGTATTGCACGTTGTAGAAAGAAATTCGTGATATTCTCGAACAAATTAAAATATCAGTTTATTCAGATTGACCACTACATTCCATATGTTAAAACATGTATCATTAATTCGTCTTCAAGTATAAAAAAAACTTTACATACTACATAGAATAAATAATTAACAAAACACCTGGCATGAAATCAATTTGCACTAGAGATTCATCTTTCGATTTCATTGTAATACAAATCAAACATATTGTAAAATAAAAATTTTTAAGATGTAATTTTTTTTTTCAAAAATTAAATGACAAACAAATCAAATAAATGTTATAAATGTTCTCATATTAAAAACAAAGTTAATTGGTATTAAATCTTTAATGAACTACAAAAGACTGGCTATGGCACTGAAGTTGTATAGGGTGTATTACATCTACTACTCTACACTATATCTGTGATTTTTCATAAGTGATAACTTATAATACATATACATAACAATGATAAACAACAGTGATGAATACAGTATATAAAATACTTTTTGAAGAGATTTTTCTGACAAAAAACTTACAAATTGAATAATTCTTTCTCATTCTTCATGCCTTTTACGATGTCATCATAAAATCAATGATAAAAGCTCCTCATCATTTTCTTTCACAAAATAATACATTTACTTGGAATCGACTGTCATACTTTGTATATCTTGAATCAATCGCAGAAATATTTATATAAACATGTAAAAATATGTGAAATAATTTGATATTTCCCTGCTCTGTTAATAGTTCACGGTTGACTAATTTACCATTATTTCGTGTTTCCACTACACAATCTCACAATGAATAAATGTTAATAATCAATTTACTTATAAATACAAAACAAACCTTTTTTAACCACGCAGTAACACACTTTTTGATATAATTATACACACATTTGCAAACAAAAATAATATCCATTTCCTTACATGTTATTATAAATATACGTTGTGTGAATTCGGTACGACAATGGTTGTGAGCACTTTTCAATACAAATATAGATACAGTAAGGCAAGACATGAATTAACTACATCATACAACTATTTCCTCCTGGTATGATTCGTCAGGGCCTGAATTGTAACCTATGAGGCGACTTACAAAGATCCAAACGGATCCTAAATGAACACCAAAAACCAGATCTAGAGGTGGACTTACCATGTAATTTAATAAATTTCATGATATTCAATATGATTTGAAGAAGATGACAGTTCAAAAGCATTTATCGATCACGACTATAATATGTATTCGGTTCTTTAATACATCATTCCTTATCATCATATACTGGAATGTCATGTATGACTAGGACTAAGCGTCATATTGTTGGATAAAATAAGCAAATTTTACATAGAATCTGACATTTTCATTAAAACGTCGAGTTTGAAAGACATGTGGTATACTCCAATCCTTAAAACAACCGCCTTGTTTCTATAGATTCCAGATAACATGATGAATGTAATTAAAATAAAGCTAATTTTAAAAACATCTTAGAAATTTTGATTTCTTGTATCAGTACAAATAAGGACGTATATAGTATATGATTAACAAACTAAACTCTACCGATATAAACTACGTTGTACATGAACATTCATACATAGTATATGTATTTTTGAGAAATCACATTTGACAAACGTTTCACCGGGTTGTCAATATTTGCAATGAATTGATATGACATATTACTAAAAAAGTTGATATTAACACTTATGTTATCAGAACTTTTTATAAATATATATATAAATATTTCTAAAAATAAAGCTCAATGTTAACAGAGTCGAACTCTATGTCTGTGGCACAATAATAAGTATAAATCTACAAATAATTAAATACAAAAAATATCACAAGATGACATACATTGTGATTTATCATATTAGACTAATATTTTACATGCTGTCAATACATGCTGATTATACCCAATTACCGATAAAGTGTTCCCACTGTAAGTATCATTAGAATTATCAATATCATTTTAAATAAAGTAACAGAGGAGGCTAGTCCTGACATCTTGACAAAACACTATGAGGCAAATAATAAATAACACTGGACCAAAAAATAAGCATTTCACCAGACAACATCAGTTAACACTCTAGCCTATATAGGCTTACACAGAACATAGAAAATAAATGTTCCGGATGGTATCTACATGTATGTATAAAAGTACCCCTATTCAGTTCTAATATCAACGCAATTTTAATTAATGGAATGGCACTAAATGGCGTTTGATTTTAAAAAAATCTGATTATAACTGCACATATATGATGGTTTTCTCATGTTTTAGATTACTGCCATCTCTTAACATAACTTGTCACATATCTATCTAAATATACATATCTACATAGTATTTTGGTTTTAACCATTTTCTGTGCAGTTAAAATGAACATATAAACAATAAAACATAACGAGCAATACATTACATGGTTAATATACACATCTGTATGAACACATTGGACCTTTACCTACTTTTACGAAGAAATCTATTGGCTGATTTTTTGTAATGCTGCACTGGAACCGGTTTAGTATTTGAAAAGAAAATATACACTTACCCACATGTAATTCATATGCTCATAAAAACCAACAGAATATTAATCAATAATTTTTTAAAGCATGCCTGAAGGCGAGAAAATAACAATATACCTTTTCTGGTGATAAATCGTTCTAGTCATAATACATGTAGTTATTTTTGTACATTTTTCTGTCCTTACGGTGAATATCGAATTGTTCCTGGTTACAATTGTAGAATTTGCTCATTTCATATCTGGTTGGTAACCACCCAAATTTAAAGCAGTTGTTGATTTAAATCTGGTTGTTCCTCACTGAGTTTCTCCAATGCATCTGTGAATCTCATGAGATCTTCAAGAGACTGTAAACCAAGCTTCTCCTCCAGGCAGCGATAGAAAAACTCCGGGGCCTTTATCAATAGATGGTACATAAAGTAAACAATTGAGTAACAGGTTTTCATGAAAATGCAGAATCAGTAATGCAAGTCATTAGATGAACATAAGAAAAATACCAAAATATCATTACATAAGTTCAAATGATATGGAGTTTAAAACGCTCCTGAATTCCAACTATATTATAACCTTGAAAAATATGACTTTATCACAAAATGGTTTTTTTTATTGGTATTTGTCAGCCATGATATGAAGTGAAATGAAATAAAGCAATATGTGTTACAGCACATGATGCACTAGGTCATGGCATATGAAGGATGTTATTGGTTTCTCCGTATTTTATATGGTTAATGAGAATAAAATTGATCAAAATATATTTTCACATACATATCTGAGATACTTATGGTAAGTAATTTAACTATATATCATCATGATATTAATTAATATTGGACAATTGTTTATAATCAATAATTTGAAATCCGATAAATTAATAACATCATATTTCAAAAAATGTATTGGTGATTTAAAAAAAAGCGTAAGTAACTTTCAAAATAGAACGGGTTATTCAAATTACGTTACCACAGCAGTATAATTAAAATGCTGGCGTTCAGAGCTACACCCAAAGCTGTTATAGTAGATATCAATGTATATAATTGAAACAAATTTATCAATTAATGGTATCACTCACCCTTCGAAATAGCTTGTAGAGGAACGCTAGTTGTGCTCCACTCAGTGACTTCAGTCCGACAAACCTGTAAGAGAAACATAAGTTCAGGAGAAAAATAAATAATTTGTAAGTAAATAAGTAAATTTACTCGTGTTTTTTATACAATATTTTACTAAATTGATAAATGTATGTATGCTCCTACCCGATTCCACTATTTCATTCTTTTTACTGACTTTTATTTAATCTGTGTGCCAACGTCAGTTGCGTTAATCATCACCCTGTGCCTTCCTTCGCGGACGAATTCGGCTTTTAGGATCACATTTTTACTCATTATTTAAAACACCATGTCTTTAATAAGCTTTTGGACATTCATTGTGATTTCAATGCCACCTACTATGATTGATATTCGGAATTCCTAGTTACAACAAGGCTTTTTTTTGCCACTGTTCTGTTTTGTTTCATGGCGGATGGCGGCAGAAAATCAAACGCTATTGCGACTCTGAACATATCCGATATTTCAAGCGTCACAAACACCATGGGTGCCCATTCGAACGTGACTTTGCCTAATCAGTCCAGAGACTCGTTTTCATCACACAGCCGAACTGAAAAAAGGACCAATCTGAACCTGGAGTACAAATTTCAATAAAAAAAGTCACCATTATGGCATCAAAGACATTAAAAAAAACCCCGATATCTTATGAATTCAGGAACACTGGCTTTCTAACTTTCAACTCTAACATCTGATCAGCCAAAATCTCATGCAAAAGTTGTGGATGAATGAGGTTTTATATCTATGGACAAATACCAAGAGGATATCGGATAAGAGCTATTTTATACAACAGCATATGGAACTTAAGATCTAATAATTGTCCTGATGAAAATACCTAAACAGTGGCGCTGGAAATTGACTCCAATTCCTGCAATCTGCATTGTAAGCGCATATACGCCGTGTCAAGGAAATACTTCCAAATTGAAATTTAACGCCATCGTAATATATGATGTAGATGAGAGATTCTGGACAAATACACACAATCACACAACCTCAACTCGACAGTTAGTAGAATGCCTCTTACGAATAAGACCTCCGTCTGAAATCTTTTATTGGAATATGATAATCTTATCTGCACCAAAATTGGGATCTCCACATTCTTCTATATTAGCGGTGAAAACATCGCGGAACTGGATTTTATCTTCAAAAACCGTAAAGCTGTATATGTCTTTGGAGAATGTTAATGTCTCGGACCACATAACAGCGAAAACAGAGATTCACATCCTCCTCACAGAAAAAGACAAAACTGGTCTTATTTTTATGTGCATCAAACGAATCTCAAGGTCGCATAACGGTATAGCTTAAGATTGTCACTCCTTTTTAATAATAAAAAGAGAACTTATCACCCTGTGATTTGCCAGGTGTTTCTCCTGGAATCAATAAAATTACTTCGTTTGTGCCTTAGACTTTGTCATGATATGTTTCAGGGGTGCAGAAAGCGAAAGCGATCGTAGCCCAGTAGTATCGAGAATGGTACTTCATGAGCCTCAACTAAACTTAGTTAACTTTGATCAGAAGGAGAAAAAATCTGCAAATTGATTTTTGATAATATGGATGCTCTTAAAATTGCTGTTTTAAAATACAAGAAGTTATTACAAACAGTACATCAGCTCGAACCCGAAAAGGAGGCGACTAAGACCAAACCGTAAAGAAATAACACTAGCGGCACGTGCTCCTTGGCCTGGAAGTCTGATGACCTTCCATCAATGATAACCAAGAGCTAATCATAAAGAATCGTGCCAGGAGGGCACTGCAGTGAGCTAAACATAAAAAAAACCAGCAAGAAAATGCGGACAGATCTCGAGAGCATTATGAAGAGTAAGGACAATGATAAGACATTTTTCGAGTTTTTCTGTGGGCAGCGGACCACTACCTGTTGATGGGGACTTCCTTTGGTAAGGGAGCACTGCATGAAGTGCGAGTGCAATTGTCCTAAGAAAACCCAAGTTATCCCATGAAACCCTATACATGGTACCACTTTCCTTGACTTTCAAACCTCAAAAGCAATACCAAGGAAGCACAGTTGATAGAAAAAAAAAATGTTGCATGATAAATAGAATACATGGTCAGTGTCGTCAGATAATCATCAAGACAGAGCGACAAAATATAACTTACATTCGAAGATACCATTATATTTTCTATATTCTCTTCAGATACAAATGCTTGACAGTACAGACAAAACATCAGACTTATCTCAGAGAAAGTAGTACCATTGTTTGATTATATCTCTGGATTCGAATTCCTCGTTTCTAATTTTGTCATCATTTCATTTTATTACAGACAAATACATGTGGAGAGGAGAGAAACGTTATTCCGATAGCAGCTAAGTGTGATAAAATTTTAAGTAGCATAAGGGAATTCAATTGTCCCATGTCACTTATTGATATATGATCAGTTTACTAAAATCAAATCCACTAATCATATTCTAGGGGAAGTTTGTTAATTACATCATTAGATCTACCTTCAACATATGAGATACGTCGATTTCCTTAAGGGATTGTTTACTGCCAATATTCCGGTACAAGAATAGTTTTTAACATGTTCATGCCGTGACACACTAGATCTACCTGTTAATATCATCCCAGTTGCTTAGTAATCCTTGCACATAGGGTATAAATTATGTATCTGTACTCTGTAACGAAGTCAGTACATTGACAATCTGTATATCCAATAACAACATGAGAGAGGCATCGTGTGTGTGAGATAGATAGAACAGGTCTGTGATAAGTACCACATGATAGGTACATCGTGTGTTAGATAGAACAGGTCTGTGATAAGTACAACATGATAGGTACATCGTGAGTGAGAGATAGATAGAACAGGTCTGTGATAAGTACAACGTGATAGGTACATCGTGTGTGTGAGATAGATAGAACAGGTCTGTGATAAGTACAACATGATAGGTACATCGTGTGTGTGAGATAGATAGAACAGGTCTGTGATAAGTACAACGTGATAGGTACATTGTGTGTGTGAGATAGATAGAACAGGTCTGTGATAAGTACAACGTGATAGGTACATTGTGTGTGTGAGATAGATAGAACAGGTATGTGATAATAACAACATGATAGGTACATCGTGTGTGTGAGATAGATAGAACAGGTCTGTGATAAGTACAATATGATAGGTACATCGTGAGTGTGAGATAGATAGAACAGGTCTGTGATAAGTACCACATGATAGGTACATCTTGTGTGTGAGATAGATAGAACAGGTCTGTGATAAGTACAACATGATAGGTACATCGTGAGTGAGAGATAGATAGAACAGGTCTATGATAATTACAATATGATTGATACATCGTGTGTGTGAGATAGATAGAACAGGTCTGTGATAAGTACAACATGATAGGTACATCGTGAGTGAGAGATAGATAGAACAGGTCTATGATAAGTACAACATGATAGGTACATCGTGTGTGTGAGATAGATAGAACAGGTCTATGATAATTACAATATGATTGATACATCGTGTGTGTGAGATAGATAGAACAGGTCTGTGATAAGTACAACATGATAGGTACATCGTGAGTGAGAGATAGATAGAACAGGTCTATGATAAGTACAACATGATAGGTACATCGTGTGTGTGAGATAGATAGAACAGGTCTATGATCATTATACATACGCTTCCAGTTTGTTTCTAGACAGCCATTCACTTAAATCATCGGTAGTCCATGACACCATTGCTGTTTTGTTTTCCATGTCTTCCTATTAAGTAAACAAAATCACTTTTTAATTTCCAAATGTCCCATGTACGCTATACTGTACATGTGATGGGTACTTAACTTTTAGATAATTCCAAAAACTGCTGCTCATTTTGATTTTTGTAAATCAATGACATATGATACAGATGTACTTTAAACATTTTGAAATGGGGACATCGAATGAAAACAAGGAGCTCTTAGTTCTTAACGATCACCTGAGTTATTCAGATCTTTAAACAGTTTTAAAACCTGTCCATCAGTCCCAGCATTGGGGAAGACAGAACATAACTGATATATGCATACTTACAAAGATGTATTGTGTCTAAGTTTGAAGACTTAATTTTCAATTAAATGGAACTCTGTTATTGTTGTGTAGCATATTTGACCCCTGTGACCTTGAATGGAAGTCAAGGTCATTCATTTGAACACTCGTGATTACCCTTCATTCCAGTATGCTACTGGCGGCCCAATATCATGACCCTGGAGCTTTTGGTTATTAAGAGGAAGTCGTTTAATGATTTTGCCATACATTGTATTTGATACATGTGACCTTGAAAACAGGTCAAGGTCAACAATATGGGAAAAAAACTTGCTGGCCATTCATGCAAGTATACAACATGCCCAATATCAGCACCCTGGGCCTTTAGGTTATTGAGAAGAAGTTGTTTGTTTTCTTTAAAGACTGCAACACATTTGGCCAATGTGAATCAAGGTCATTCATTTTAAACAACTTGGTAGCCCTTCATCCCAGCATGTTACAGACTACAGACCCAATATCAGCACTATGGACCTTTTTCCAAAATGTTAATTGATTTTGAGGGACGAAGGACGATGCTGGACAGAAGGCGATCACAATAGGTCACTTAAGTCTCCTTTCAGTTTTCTATGATGGCAGCAATTTCAAGGTTGTATCAACAACACACAATGGCACGTGAATAACAGCCAAACAATGAACATAATCATTCAGTTGGTTTGTCCATCTAGAACTAAGGGCCTAAATGCTAAACCTGGGAGGCAGCCAAGAAAAATCCAAAAGTAGAGAAAGGAATGTCAAAATCTAGGTAGGGAGGTGGACTATCCCCAGAGTAAACATAGTAGTGTTATGTATAGTCCACTGAGTAAAATCCAAAAGTAGAGAAAGGAATGTCAAAATCTAGGCAGGGAGGTGCACGAAGCCCAGAGTAAACATAGTAGTGTTATGTATATTCCACTGAGGCAAATCCAAAAGTAGAGAAAGGAATGTCAAAATCTAGGTAGGGAGGTGGACTATCCCCAGAGTAAACATAGTAGTGTTACGTATATTCCACTGAGGCAAATCCAAAAGTAGAGAAAGGAATGTCAAAATCTAGGCAGGGAGGTGGACTAACCCCAGAGTAAACATAGTAGTGTTATGTATATTCCACTGAGTAAAATCCAAAAGTAGAGAAAGGAATGTCAAAATCTAGGTAGGGAGGTGGAATATCCCCAGAGTAAACATAGAAGTGTTATGTATATTCCACTGAGTAAAATCCAAAAGTAGAGAAAGCAATGTCAAAATCTAGGTAGGGAGGTGGACTATCCCCAGAGTAAACATAGTAGTGTTATGTATATTCCACTGAGTAAAATCCAAAAGTAGAGAAAGGAATGTCAAAATCTAGGTAGGGAGGTGGACTATCCCCAGAGTAAACATAGTAGTGTTATGTATATTCCACTGAGTAAAATCCAAAAGTAGAGAAAGGAATGTCAAAATCTAGGTAGGGAGGTGGACTATCCCCAGAGTAAACATAGTAGTGTTATGTATATTCCACTGAGTAAAATCCAAAAGTAGAGAAAGGAATGTCAAAATCTAGGTAGGGAGGTGGAGTAACCCCAGAGTAAACATAGTAGTGCTATGTATATTCCACTGAGTAAAATCCAAAAGTAGAGAAAGGAATGTCAAAATCTAGGTAGGGAGGTGGACTATCCCCAGAGTAAACATAGTAGTGTTATGTATATTCCACTGAGGCAAATCCAAAAGTAGAGAAAGGAATGTCAAAATCTAGGTAGGGAGGTGGACTATCCCCAGAGTAAACATAGTAGTGTTACGTATATTCCACTGAGTAAAATCCAAAAGTAGAGAAAGGAATGTCAAAATCTAGGCAGGGAGGTGGACTAACCCCAGAGTAAACATAGTAGTGTTATGTATATTCCACTGAGTAAAATCCAAAAGTAGAGAAAGGAATGTCAAAATCTAGGTAGGGAGGTGGACTATCCCCAGAGTAAACATAGTAGTGTTACGTATATTCCACTGAGTAAAATCCAAAAGTAGAGAAAGGAATGTCAAAATCTAGGTAGGGAGGTGGACTATCCCCAGAGTAAACATAGTAGTGTTATGTATATTCCACTGAGTAAAATCCAAAAGTAGAGAAAGGAATGTCAAAATCTAGGTAGGGAGGTGGACTATCCCCAGAGTAAACATAGTAGTGTTATGTATATTCCACTGAGTAAAATCCAAAAGTAGAGAAAGGAATGTCAAAATCTAGGTAGGGAGGTGGAGTAACCCCAGAGTAAACATAGTAGTGTTATGTATATTCCACTGAGTAAAATCCAAAAGTAGAGAAAGGAATGTCAAAATCTAGGTAGGGAGGTGGACTATCCCCAGAGTAAACATAGTAGTGTTATGTATATTCCACTGAGTAAAATCCAAAAGTAGAGAAAGGAATGTCAAAATCTAGGTAGGGAGGTGGATGTATATTCCCCAGAGAGAAAGGAATGTCATAGTAGTGTTATGTATATTCCACTGAGTAAAATCCAAAAGTAGAGAAAGGAATGTCAAAATCTAGGTAGGGAGGTGGACTATCCCCAGAGTAAACATAGTAGTGTTATGTATATTCCACTGAGTAAAATCCAAAAGTAGAGAAAGGAATGTCAAAATCTAGGTAGGGAGGTGGACTAAGTAAACATAGTAGTGTTATGTATATTCCACTGAGTAAAATCCAAAAGTAGAGAAAGGAATGTCAAAATCTAGGTAGGGAGGTGCACGAAGCCCAGAGTAAACATAGTAGTGTTATGTATATTCCACTGAGTAAAATCCAAAAGTAGAGAAAGGAATGTCAAAATCTAGGTAGGGAGGTGGACTATCCCCAGAGTAAACATAGTAGTGTTATGTATATTCCACTGAGTAAAATCCAAAAGTAGAGAAAGGAATGTCAAAATCTAGGTAGGGAGGTGGACTAACCCCAGAGTAAACATAGTAGTGTTATGTATATTCCACTGAGTAAAATCCAAAAGTAGAGAAAGGAATGTCAAAATCTAGGTAGGGAGGTGGACTATCCCCAGAGTAAACATAGTAGTGTTATGTATATTCCACTGAGTAAAATCCAAAAGTAGAGAAAGGAATGTCAAAATCTAGGTAGGGAGGTGGACTATCCCCAGAGTAAACATAGTAGTGTTATGTATATTCCACTGAGTAAAATCCAAAAGTAGAGAAAGGAATGTCAAAATCTAGGTAGGGAGGTGGAGTAAGTAAACATAGTAGTGTTATGTATATTCCCCCCCAGAGTAAACATAGTAGTGTTATGTATATTCCACTGAGTAAAATCCAAAAGTAGAGAAAGGAATGTCAAAATCTAGGTAGGGAGGTGGACTATCCCCAGAGTAAACATAGTAGTGTTATGTATATTCCACTGAGTAAAATCCAAAAGTAGAGAAAGGAATGTCAAAATCTAGGTAGGGAGGTGGAGTAACCCCAGAGTAAACATAGTAGTGTTATGTATATTCCACTGAGTAAAATCCAAAAGTAGAGAAAGGAATGTCAAAATCTAGGTAGGGAGGTGGAATATCCCCAGAGTAAACATAGTAGTGTTATGTATATTCCACTGAGTAAAATCCAAAAGTAGAGAAAGGAATGTCAAAATCTAGGTAGGGAGGTGGAATATCCCCAGAGTAAACATAGAAGTGTTATGTATATTCCACTGAGTAAAATCCAAAAGTAGAGAAAGGAATGTCAAAATCTAGGTAGGGAGGTGGACTATCCCCAGAGTAAACATAGTAGTGTTATGTATATTCCACTGAGTAAAATCCAAAAGTAGAGAAAGGAATGTCAAAATCTAGGTAGGGAGGTGGACTATCCCCAGAGTAAACATAGTAGTGTTATGTATATTCCACTGAGTAAAATCCAAAAGTAGAGAAAGGAATGTCAAAATCTAGGTAGGGAGGTGGACTAGTGTTACCCCAGAGTAAACATAGTAGTGTTATGTATATTCCACTGAGTAAAATCCAAAAGTAGAGAAAGGAATGTCAAAATCTAGGTAGGGAGGTGGACTATCCCCAGAGTAAACATAGTAGTGTTATGTATATTCCACTGAGGCAAATCCAAAAGTAGAGAAAGGAATGTCAAAATCTAGGCAGGGAGGTGGACTAACCCCAGAGTAAACATAGTAGTGTTATGTATATTCCACTGAGTAAAATCCAAAAGTAGAGAAAGGAATGTCAAAATCTAGGTAGGGAGGTGGACTATCCCCAGAGTAAACATAGTAGTGTTACGTATATTCCACTGAGTAAAATCCAAAAGTAGAGAAAGGAATGTCAAAATCTAGGTAGAAAGGTGGACTATCCCCAGAGTAAACATAGTAGTGTTATGTATATTCCACTGAGTAAAATCCAAAAGTAGAGAAAGGAATGTCAAAATCTAGGTAGGGAGGTGGAGTAACCCCAGAGTAAACATAGTAGTGTTATGTATATTCCACTGAGTAAAATCCAAAAGTAGAGAAAGGAATGTCAAAATCTAGGTAGGGAGGTGGACTATCCCCAGAGTAAACATAGTAGTGTTATGTATATTCCACTGAGTAAAATCCAAAAGTAGAGCAAGGAATGTCAAAATCTAGGTAGGGAGGTGGAATATCCCCAGAGTAAACATAGAAGTGTTATGTATATTCCACTGAGTAAAATCCAAAAGTAGAGAAAGCAATGTCAAAATCTAGGTAGGGAGGTGGAATATCCCCAGAGTAAACATAGAAGTGTTATGTATATTCCACTGAGTAAAATCCAAAAGTAGAGAAAGGAATGTCAAAATCTAGGCAGGGAGGTGGACTAACCCCAGAGTAAACATAGTAGTGTTATGTATATTCCACTGAGTAAAATCCAAAAGTAGAGAAAGGAATGTCAAAATCTAGGTAGAAAGGTGGACTATCCCCAGAGTAAACATAGTAGTGTTATGTATATTCCACTGAGTAAAATCCAAATGTAGAGAAAGGAATGTCAAAATCTAGGTTGGGAGGTGGAGTAACCCCAGAGTAAACATAGTAGTGTTATGTATATTCCACTGAGTAAAATCCAAAAGTAGAGAAAGGAATGTCAAAATCTAGGTAGAAAGGTGGACTATCCCCAGAGTAAACATAGTAGTGTTATGTATATTCCACTGAGTAAAATCCAAATGTAGAGAAAGGAATGTCAAAATCTAGGTAGGGAGGTGGAGTAACCCCAGAGTAAACATAGTAGTTTGTATAAATATTTGATCATTTTAGAAGAACATCAAGTATATGTGTATATTCTAAAACAGTGCCACTACGCAAATAAATTAAAACCAAGCCAAAGTGATCGAAAGAAATGTCAAAATCTAGTTGGAGAAATTTCATTAATTTCATATATCTGATAATTTGAAAAGTATTCAAGTACAGGTGTATTTCCTGAACCATGACAGTATTTGAATGAATTAAAACATGACATACAGGTTACGACAACCCAAAGGACTAATTTTCTACCAGCAGTGTCTACCACCTAATCAAGGTAACAAATTATATTAGGTAAAAGAATCTTGTTATGAAGATTTTAAATCAAACGTGTATCCGGTGCAAATGTAATGAATGAACATTGAACTTCAGTTTCAATAACTTGAGTGCATTGCTTTTCATAATTGTGATATCGAACAACCACTTATTGTATAAACTAGCACCTGTTAAGTTCAAAACATAATGCTGGTCTGTGTAAGTATAGACATGCCACTTTCAAATTCCCAGCCAAATAATATAATTGAGGGGTCATTCTTTAAAACAGATATGTTTTATCTATCAAATGATAGTGCAAGAAAGAGAAAACCTTTCATTGTTATATACTTCCATCTAACATACCTTTTTGGTTTGCTCTATTTGTGTAGAAACAATACTAAGCACTTTTGGTGCAGAGTCTTTCTTCATCATGACTCTGAATCGATTCTCCAGCTCTCGAATCAGTTCTCGGATTTTGTTCTCAAATGGGTATTTAGTTGTAAATTCGTAGAACAGCTTAGACCCTACCAGGATACCAAGCCAGCCATCAGGTTTATATCTGGTCTGCATCAGTACAGGGATGATATCCTTATTCACTTGGTAGGCATACTGGGCCTCTGGTCACCGAAGTGATTGGAATTTAAAAGAAAAAGCAGTCAAGATTAAGTACAACAGTTATGATGATACTAGAGTGTAAAAGAGGTAAAGATGAGACAATAGTCACCATTATATATAACGAGAAATGGGAAGTCATATCGGGATACATGTGATAAATAGAGGACAGAATCAATACAAAATTGTCATAGATACAATATTATTACCTGTTCTACAATTTTTGCTTTCCTTGTATTTCTCAGAGTAGCACATGAGAACAATATGAGCATTCTCTACAGCACGAGCCATGGCATCTAGAATGTCTCCTTCCATGTTGTCTACATCCATCCATACCTTGTATCCAACATCCTGGAGGCGATCACGAACCTACAAAGGCACAAAAAGTTATAGTTCGATATAATTTTTTCTGAAAAACATGGAAATATGAACAATTGTAGATATTCCTTTTAATACTTGAAAGTTTCTATTGAGAGAAATCATATCTAGCTTTTCCTTTCCCTGTCGGAGAAAGAAGCATGTCCTTTCTTCCCTTTTTTACCCTCATGTAACAACAGGGTAAAGATAGTTAGGCAGTAATATATAAATGAAATCCTTTCATCATATATTACTTTCATGTATATCTCTCAATCCTACAAAAAGTACATTAAAATTTAACTTTATTAATTTTATTTCAGAATTTTTTTTTGTAGGAAAAGCATAACATGAACAGGATCCGTACAATGACCACGATGATAGTATCCTGTAAGGGGTTACGGGTTAAGATTGGTTGGTAGATGGGTAGGTAATCAATTGTACATATTAACATTGCCAAGCTGTAGCTTGAAGCAGGACTTATATACAATGCATTTATGGGTTGTGATAGGTCTGTCGGTAGGGTGAAGATCTGAGGAGAAGATTTGATGATCCCTCTTCATGATGGTTTGTGTTTCTCAAGAAGCCGAAAAATAGACTGGTCTTAACTGAAATGGTTGCGACCATAGGCAAGACACTATACACCAATTACTCTGGATGGCATACTATAGGTCAGTTTCTGCTGGGGCAGGGTTCATATATATCATGATGGCAATGCCATATAGGGACCAGAGTTATAAATGATATTGTTCATGATATAAGGGAATCTAGTGTATACAGGCCATCATTGTCATGACATTGTTTAACAAGGATACCATCTACATTATCATGTTTTTCACAATACCATGCTGGTGCCATAACACAATACTTGTAACTTAGGTTCATCAGATATTGTCTTATATAAAGAACTCTACATATTAAAGTATTAGCATTAAATGTTAGCATTTACCCTGAGAAGCATCTTCTGGTCTGCCCAGTTGTAACTGATCATGATGTGCTGTTCTTCATCCTGTTGCTCCTTCTTTCGTACAACTTTAATAAAGGAATGTATGTGCTTTACATGAGATATCTAACTACATAAACATATTGATATTCATTAAACTAATTTAGATACATATACTTTATATGTGAAAATATCTTTGATATGGATTTTTTTCCCATGATAAGATCTGAATAGTCATTCTTTAGAAGTTATTAAAGAGTATTTATTTATGGAAATAACAAACAATTGATTCAAATTCGAGCATTAATCTTTATGATGCAGATTTCAGCCAATGTTACTCTGGAGTCCACTTCAATGAAGCTCTTATTTAAATTACCAACAATTATTTATCCCCAAATAGCAGCTTTACAAATATTATCAACACTTCTTCAAAAGAACATTTTTATTAATTTGGTGACAAAATTTGAAACCTTTCTAATATGTTGTCATTCAATGCAGAAAAACTTAATAGCATCCCAATTACAGAAATTTTTAATTCACAGTTTTGAGATAAAAAATACATTATCTAATCTAAATGAATTCAAAGGAAAGCATTTTAGAAAAAAGAAAATACTAGGAGCTGGTTTCCTGAAGCTTTTGACGCCTTGTGGAGCCTTGCCATGGAGGTCACCGTCAGTTATAACAAAACAGGCACCCTGGGCTGCCTTTGAAACCTCCTCAACACTGTCACTTTGCAGAAGGTAAATTTTCTTCCAAAATTCTTTATCACCCTAGTAGTAACAAAGATGACGCACATGTAATTTTACAATTTGTTAATGACGAGGTTGGTGAAACAGGAGGCTGTCTCCCTGTAAATTAAATATGAGATTAACACATATTGTTACTTTTCAGGATATATATATATATATATATTCCCTTATCAACGTGATATACTAGATAAAGAAATTTTGTTTCTGTGTTTGTGAGATATATCATTACATCAATGAATTTTTGAATAAACATATATTTTTCATACAATTTCATTGAACACGAGATAAACATACTTTGTTACTATGTTGATGAAATATAAGATACTTGAACCTAACCTCGTTACTGTGTGTAATGAAACATAAACTGCAGTGAGACATCACTTTCTTTTTCTTATCAGTTTGAATTAAACGAGTTTGTATGTGTTCCATCTAAAATAAGCCTTGACATGAATTCCTCTATCTCAATTTCTGGCCAATGAAATAATCAACATGAAACATCCTGAGGGATTTTGGTGCCCAACTTTGTTTGATTTTTATTTGTTCTTAAAAAGTTGGAGCTTTTCCCTAATTTTCTTCTTTGTTTTGCCCTTAATGATAAGAAATTTTAACATTCCTTTCCAGAAATAGCAATAATAATCATTAACTGTGAAATCCAAAATGATTGCCTGTCAGTCATTCTGTTTTCCTGATCAGTCCCAAAATCAAACTGGCACAACAAGAGAACAAGGAAAATCTACATATGCAATCTGAGAGAGATCTATGGTGTAGTTCTCAAGAAAGAGTGATAACAAACTATCAAATTCAAAATTCAAGATGGCTACCAGTTGGCCATTTTGTTTTTCATGATCAGTCTCAATTTCGAAAGGGCAAATTTAAGTACTTCAGCAGAAATAGCGAAAAACAAACATTTTTTATGGACAGATTGAGGGACAAGGACCATAGACATAGGGTGATTTAAATAGCCTACCATCAGATGATGGTGGGTTAAAATGGTTTCATTCTCTTGTGAAGTAGACAAAGTCTCTAGACCAATGAGGAACAGGGATATGATTATTCTGATTCAATTATCAAAATTATGTTTCAATGTTCACATTAAATGAATTAAATACATCCATGATTCCAGCATAGCTGTTTGTGATACACTGTATATGACATACCATGAAAGTTTGCTTGTTTTTTCCCATAAATGACAACTCCCAGATAACCTTGAGAGCCTCTGCCTTTTCTTCTTGACTCTTGCCTTTTATGATAATGTCCTTGAGAATAGGGAAGGCCTTTTTGTCCATGATAATTGCCTTGTTGAGGTCATTTTTGGCAAGATTAGCAAGTCCATCCAGTAGTTCCTCCACACTGAAGCCATACTTGCGGTGGTCTTTGCTCTTGATGGCAGACTTCAGTGTTTCCAGCAGGAAGTCGAACAGTGAAGCATTAGCAGACAATATCTGGTTCTGTTGCTCATTTACGATGTGTGCCAGACCCAGCAGTGTGATCAACTTGATGTCTGAAAGAGATACAATCACATAATGTATGTAGTACATGCTGAAAAAATAGATGAATAAGTAAATACATCAACCTCATTCCATTGGTTGGATTTTCTCACATTTATTTTTTTAAAGTAATAAAAAAAATGGATCAAACTATATGAGAATATTTCAAATAAAAAAATAATGAAACAGAGACAGATTTTTCTATGAAAGCTTTGAATTACATTAGATTACAATCTGTAAACGGAATAACTTAAATCTAAAATCACTTTCATATTAAAACAAATCTATGCCTTTATTATTGTCATGTGATACTTGTAAATATTTTTGATCTAAAGGTACATTAAACATAGGACATCTTGCATTACATAAATATGTTATAATTAGTTAAATTGTTTTTTGAAGATCAACAGTAGACAAAAATAAATAAATAAATAAATAAATAAATGAACAAAATATGGACATGCTGTGACATTAATGGTGGAACTATACCTGTAGATGAATGACATTATGATGTAAGGGAAGTAACTCTTAATCAGAGACATGTCTTTCTGTTACTTATAACAGCTCCTAATGAAATTCCCTTTTTAGAATGATATTTGCTGTAGTAAATAATTATGTTGCATCAAGATAAAAAACACACAAAATGGATAGGTTGATAAGCTATCTACAGTTATCTTTTTCATGAGGATTGTACTGAAATTCAATTAGAACATACAGTTGTGGTAATGGACACATGCACACATGCATTATACAGTATCTAGCATGCATATCTGTGAAAGGATCACACAATTTGTGCGGTTTGATAAAAATGCTTGGTTAGTATTATGAATTGAAAATTAAATGGAAAACTTGTGAAATTATGACTAAATAGTGATCACAGGTGTATTAAACTTAAATCTAAATTTGAAAGTCTTCAAAATAACACTAGACCCTGCAGTAATTAGTCTTTTGATTGCATAGTTTAGCACTTCTGAGAGAGGTGAGTGGTTTGACTCTGGCAACAAGGTTACCTGTATACAGTCCAAATCAATAGCAGCTACATCGCTTGTATAACAAACACAACACTTAAAATCTAATTAGGCATATGTGTGTTTACAAAATGTTGGAAAATGAGAGTAATACTGAAGTAATGAAAATGATACACCCATTTAATGTCTGTGCACTAAGGCTGGTTAGATGTGGCACTTTGTAAAACAAACCACTTTAGATTACAAGTGTAAATAAGAATTCTTTCTGTATCTGATAGATCTACATGTGTCCAGCCTATAGATTTCTGGCTTAATTAGGAAAGGTATTTAGTTGTACTTTTATGTAATTAGAAAATAAATAAAATCCAATCCCACACTCATCTATAATTCATTTCTAAATTTACATCAACAATGATAGAATCACACATTTGTGGGATGGAACCACACAATGACTGTCCGCACAGATGGGTGATAGCTTATTTCATTCAGTTTTCCTATCACGTGTACATTGCACATTGTGTAACATTCTGCCATCCCACAACTGTAGCACAGTACATGTGATTTCTGACTTCCAACTGCAGGAAAGTTTAAGGTGACTCATTTCAAAGCTGATCTAATTTGTTTTTGTTCTTTATATCGACGCTTAAAAAGGCAAAAAACCTCACGTGTATTTTTTGTCTCTAGGTATGGCATCAAGACATCCAGGACTTGTATTGGTTTAGCAAATTCATCTTGACTGTCTAGGATGACACTGAAGCAGGTTTTTGTAACACCTGAGCGAGCCACATTGTGCAGAATCCCTACTGCAGATAGAAATGGGAACGAGTCCTCCTGAAGTGTCATAAAACATGCAAATCAGTATCAATGTTTCCCATTTCAATCATCTTAGTTACTATCCTTTATTCCACTCAAATATTGAATCCATCAAATTATAAATCAAACCAGAGCTCATTTTATCATTTAAACTCGAGGTAACTTTCAGTTGGTACTGAATGTTCACCCCTAAAACACACAATCTATTGTTTTTAGGTGTCAAACTTGTGAAAACAAATATTCAAATATTTTTTCTCTCCCAAAGTATAATGTTTTAAAAATATTTTTGAATCATCACAAGATTGGATGAATGGTAAGACATTTGATATATCCATGAAGGTTTTCATTTTCATGACGAATGCTAAAATCTCTTGGAAACTTTTGAATTCTATTAAAAGACGGAAAATATATTGCTTTATAATACTGTAGATTTAAATTGAATACATTATAGACCTGTTAATCTAAAAAATTATATCAAAGGTCTTATTTCCACTATTTTGAAGAGGCCGGGATATAAAATCTAGCTCAAAGTAAAATGTGTAATGAGAAAATGAAATTGACCTGTTTCATAAATTCCACTTCCTTTTCATTCAACTTTGGTTGAAATCATGAAAATCATTGTTATCTTGACCTTGACTCAACAACCCTCAAACAATACCTTGTCCAAGATAATGTGATGCTTTATTATTGTGTAAAGTTTGACGAGAATCCCTAAAGTAATTAAGCCACTAGAATGCTGACAATGATTTTCTTAAAGTAGTAGTAGTGACCTTAACCCAATATTCCAGAAACTCTATCTCAAAGATACTTTGATGCTTAATAAGTGAGTGACGTTTGATGAGAATCTATCATGAATTAACGCCACATGAGCACACTTGTATTGAATTTAACTATATTCCTCAAAAAGATTCAAGATCAATCAATAAGATATCCCCAGGCCTAAGATAAAAGAAAATGCACAAGCCTGTTTTTACAGTAGTGCAAATTGTACATATGTTTTCTCAAAACAAAATTACGTCAGAAGAAGATGTGTTAACATACAATGCATATACTTGCCTTAAGGATATCAAATTCATCTTTTCTTATTGCCAACAGGTCGATGACAAGAAAACGGATCATTTCTGTGTTTTCCGCTATCTCAGCACAAAATTCCACACTATTATCAGAAAGATTCCAGAAAATCTGTCGCAACTGTTCTACAACTATGATACCATCATCCTTGTCTTCAGCCTCTGCCAAAGTAAACTCAGCCAATGGCATTATCCTCACCAGATACTTGTAAAAATCGCCCATGTCCTTCACCACTCTGAAACACACTTATCTGAGTCAATAGACAAGTTTGTTATACTTTTCTACAGTGTGCAGAATTACATTTTACATTTATATATTTCAAAAAAAAGAAAAAGTATATTATTTAATACCAAGAGCAAGAGGTTTGGATCTGTACTACAGTATCATTCCATTGTTCTGTATTCTGTTTACAAATCAGTTGCCACCTACATGGAATGTTAGACATTTATTCAATATTTAATGTATCTATTTATTAAATATGTTAAAAAGTCAAATTAATAAGATTTTTACATTTTTTCTGATCAGGAGTGATGAAAACTGTTTTTCTTGATCTGAACGTGATGTGGTTTAAGTTAAATAGGTGGTATAGTATGATGCTGGTGATGATAATATATATATATATGCACATCTTTTTGATGAAGTAAAAAATTATATGAAAAGATAGCGATATGACATAACAACATCAAAATATATGACCAGACTTTTGGCTCAAACCCGGGACCCTCACTACTCAAGACACACACTGTACCAATTGAGTTTCCAGGTTGCCGACAATCAACCCAGTCCAGTTCCACTACAATACCTGCTACTAGCACTAAATTACCCATTCTTTGCCATCTGGTTTCCCATTAATTTCCTTTGATCTGGTTCCTTGAACGTATCAAATTGATCCAGGACCTTTTTAAGGAGTTGCTCTGCCACATCCTTGTAGTCAGGATCTTCAGGATCTTCAGAATCATCTCCGTCCTCAATCAAGGAGGAAAGCCATGGTCCTAATGTGGTTATACCATCTATAGTTTCCCTCATCTCAGGAAAGCGAGAGTACAGTTGTTCATCCTCTTCTCGTATAATCCTTGATATCGTGCGTAATGGAGGCTTCTTGCTAGGAGTTGGAGAATGTGTCCCTGCTTTTATGGACACCTTTCTGGTTCTGTTGTTTGTTTGCATTTCCATGTCCACCGACGGGGATGTTATATTGTCACCATGTGTTTCTGACTGATTAACAGCTTTCTTTAGACTACTTTTCAGTTTTGGAGTATGTAATGTGTCTCTTCCAGTTGAAGTAGTCTGTGGTACACTAATAGTGGTGTGGTTGGTTTCTTTAGACAAGTCTCCCCCTTGAATTGTGCTGCTAGATGATCCCATACCATCTCCAAAATAAACTGAAACAGAAACAAAATGAACATAAAAAATATCAATAACTAACAGCATGGCACATGGGCCATAAATGCCATTTCAATCTTGTCCTGGTATATTTTCTGAGCATATTATTGATTGTTGGTGGGACTTGCATACATACTGTATTTTCAGATTTATAATTAAGCCATTACTATTTTTCTTGGGGGTCAGATATGTGGTTTACAAATACATTTGTTGGCACTGCTCATATGTGGAGAAAAAAAATCAGAAGGATGGAAAAAAGCCTTGTATGCTTTAATAACAAACATTAATATTAGAGCAATTTTGGTTATCATGGATTCATAATGACATACTATGAATATGTTTTGGAGTTGCGACTGTACTTTTGTTTTGTTTTGACTTCATGAAATTACAGATACTCCGAGCTAACGTTGGCCATGCATGAAGTGTAATGAAACAAATACTATTCTGAAACTTAAGTTCATACAATGTCCAAAATCACACGAAGTAGCAAAACTAAATTATTCTTTCAATACCAGCATTGCAATCATTGGTGTGTTTTTCTTATTTTTGTTTTTCTTTTTTTTTTTTTTTTTGTTTGTTTACAGTACATTTTAAACGAGCTATCTTTTTCGAAGCGATTTGTAGATCTGAAATACATGTATCCTATTGTCACTGTGGTTACCGTTACTTTTGCAGATGATATTCGAAAAGTTAAATGCAAAAGTGCATTCAATAACTAATTTGACATTTTTCAAAGAAGTAACTTAATCCAAAAAATGTTAGGTTCATGTAATTGTTTGGATACTACAACGTTACACGACAGTCATGAGGGGACAAATCAATGCTCTTGTACACAATATACAAAAACGCGCCAGATTTCCAAATGTAAAAATCAACTGCAAATCACATGTTAAAATTCAAATAAGTTAATGTTAAACAATACGTGAATAACTTAAAGTAAGTCCTTACATACGGACAAAGTCAAGATATGTTTACCTTCCTGGTTAACGCTCCAGCCTTTCTAGCGTCGATGGCAACATATCGCATGCATGAAAATTGAGGTCATTTATGCGTTTGAATATCGTACGTATTGTTATAGTTGCTTTACTATCAACATCGTTAAAACGTTTTGCACCGTTCTACTTTCGGTTTGTTTTTCATTGTCTGTATCGTCATTATATATCGATGACACAAGGAAAATACATTTTGACCGTACATCTGTATATGTATCTCCACTGTAAATTGTGTTTTATTATTTGGAAGCATTTTGTAGAAACAAACCTTTCCAGACAAATGGAATAAGACGCCATATATATGTATTAATTTGTACATACATGGATGGTGTAGTCATATAGAGAGGTACGTGTACATGCAATATGTACTAATGTTGAATGTACATTGTTGGCACATGTACCCGGACACTGATTGTAAATTATTTAAATAGAATCTGAACAAAAACATGTCTTATATTGAAACTTTTTTGTACATGTTGTAGTATCCTTATCTATATATCCCAATCAACCACCATATTTACGGAAACACCAATGAAGATACAAACCATATGCACATATCTGTTTGTTTTACATTTTTTTAATTAAATAAAGTATTTTTTATGTGTAGAGTTACAATATTTAGAAGAAAGACAAGTTTGTTCTATTTTTGACGCGATTACTCATTATCATATAAGTAAGAAAGGAAGTAAGTATACAAACAGTTAGTATTATTGAAATAATACTCAAACAGGTTTAAATAAGAACAAAAATATCATTTTAAGGTAGGTAACACTCAGTTTTGTTTAGAGATAAACACATATTGAATATGGATATACGTCTCTGAAGCGCTTTTCACTAGAAGAAAACAGCAACTAATGATACCGTCGTAGCGATTGATATAATGTAAGACCCCCCCCCCCCCCACAAAAAAAAAAAAAAAAAAAAAACCCACATTTTCAAAGCCGTTTGCTTATACTTTATGATTGTTTACCCATGACAATTGTGCGTTATTGGATTTTCCAACCTTTTCACCTTATCTTGAAACAGTACATTAAAGTTTTAATTTTTGTTTGTTTTTAAATCCATATCGTTTTCAATTTGTTTAAAATACACGTTACAAGAGTAGCTATATGTAAAGCATTAACAGTTTAGTACTTTAAATTTTGTATATTCTAATCGTAGTCCTGCCACTCGAACATTTTTCGTATGAATTAAACAATTTATAGATCGTCAAACAAAATTGGTATTAGGTCGCTGCTGTTTGAGTTGTCTCCCTTCCAACACAACTCTAGCTAGCCTAAAGAAACCCACAAAAACTGATACTACCATTTGACTTTTAAGACTAATGTTAAAAGAAGTTAACGTAAAAAATCAGTTAAAGATATTAGTTTTCGATCGAGTGACGCTTGAGTTATTTCATCACCTACGGAGGCCGTTTTCTGTGCTTTGATTTAAGGTAAGATTAACCACACCAGAGTGCAGCCAGTACAACGTCACGGTAATGACCATCCAACTTTTTTATTGATTGATTGCGTTGTTGATAATGAATACTTTATTTCAGTTTCAATTAAAAAATGACCCCGTGCAAGACAGCATAATACACAGGGAATATTAATATAAACACTAAACAGTCTTGTTGGGATATTTAAGATCGCCTTTTTTGCGCTGGCTTATAGAAACAAAAGCTATTCATTCAATTCATATTTTCCACCGACAACGGAAAATAGAATAGAAAGTTGATCTATCAAGACAGCGAGGACGATCGTATATAAATGTAGAAATGTAAGTGACTGCATGAAAACGATCAAAATTGTCTCCAAGTCAACACATGCCGGAAGGAAGAGTTTCATTTTCTACGGAATCAGTCATCAGACAAGTCTGAATTGTTTTGTATATAAACGACTTCCCGTGTATATTTACATACAGACAAAACAAAAACTACTGTGTCGTGTTCAACTTCAATGACTGAGAAGCTGTTCATGAAGGCATTTTGAGTAGAAACGCACGGAACAAAAAATGTTTACAACAAAATGTAATGACCCATTTAGGAAAACATTCATTGACCATTGTTAAATTTTCGACTATCGTCAGAGCCAATTTTGTGGGTAAATTAAGGACCAATACTAAGCACTATAGTACATGGTCTTGAACGTATTTAAAGCTCTCAACAAGAGCATATATATATAGAATACGTCATCCAGGTTCCACTATGGTGAAATACATAATCGCACACTTCTCCATGTCTCTACTGAGATAACACATCTCTCCTATAACTATAACAATACATGTATATACATGTCCTGGTGTGTACATACATCGTTTGTGCAAACATATCTCTGGATTATAGAGACGAATCATCTCTTTTCTCTTGCACAGACATCAGACACCTTTCATTGTTTGTATGACCAGAACAATTCTTTCAGACTTAATCAGATTGTTACATGGCTTAATATATCCGAAGTTACCAATGAAAATGAGCTAAAACATGATTTTGGTCTCTTTGAAATGTTTTATCCTAATTTTCAAACTTAAGCTGGACAATTCTTTAGAAGAACTTGAAATTGGTAAACATTCTAATGTAAGATATATCACATGTCTCATTTGTTTTCTTTTTACAAAAGCACTTCGAAACAAATCTTAATATTCGACGGAAAAAAGATTGAACGGTAACACTGTGATACATTGACCGAATATAACAATTCATGATACTTTCTTAATATGCATGTTAGAGGTAGAGGGTCTGACTTCATCCGTCCTTTACCTTGTTACTTCTTATCATACAAATATCAAGAGACTAGAGAGGTCAAAATCCATGAAATAAGGGTAACATATGATCTGAAGAAAATTTTACACGGGGATGCTTTGTCAAGTTTCATAAAGTATAAATCATCATCTATACTCCTTTGTTTTGTTTTCATTTAGGAACATGACTCGATGATAGAAGACGCTTACCCTTCTAAAATACATGGTCTTATTCACCCATTTTTCTGGACATACTTGTAAATCTCTCTATTGTTCATATTTTATCTTAGGTCAATTGAGTTTGAATTAAGAATCTGTTGACTTATCGATATTTTCTTTCTGTGTTTAAACATCTAGATCAATATGAGTTGTCACGTTGTCTCATTAAGAGTTTTTATAATTATCTTTATAGAAGAATGTTTATTACTGTCTTAAGAATCGTGGCTAGTAAACCCCAATGTATGTTTATTACTGACTTCAGAATCCTGTCTAGTCAAACCCCATTGTATGCTTATTACTGTCTTCAGAATCGTGGCTAGGCACACCCCATTGTATGCTTATTACTGTCTTCAGAATCGTGGCTAGGCAAACCCCATTGTATGCTTATTACTGTCTTCAGAATCGTGGCTAGGCACACCCCATTGTATGCTTATTACTGTCTTCAGAATCGTGGCTAGGCAAACCCCATTGTATGTTTATTACTGTCTTCAGAATCGTGGCTAGGAAAACCCCATGGTTTATTTATTACTGTCTTCAGAATCGTTTCTAGGCAAACCCAACTGAATGTTTATTACTGTCTTCAGAAGCGTGGCTAGGCAAAACCCCATTGTATGTATATTACTGTCTTCAGAATCGTGGCTAGTCAAACCCTATTGTATGTTTATTACTGTCTTCAGAATCGTGGCTAGTCAAACCATATTGTATGCTTATTACTGTCTTCAAAATCGTGGCTAGTCAAACCATAATGTATGCTTATTACTGTCTTCAGAATCGTGGCTAGGCAAACCCCAATATATGTTTATGCTATATCCATTAGCTGAATTATTTTTTATTCTTTAATGATATTGTAAATTGAGAGGTAA